GAAAACCAAACTTGTGACTTTACCCAAAAAGTGTAAGTTATTTAATTAATAAAAGAAAAAAAAAACCTCTTGGGCTATTTTTTTTTTTTTAATTTTATCTTTACCTTCCAAAAAACACATGAGATCTATTATTAATTTGTTAAATCATCTCTAGCAGCGTGTTAAAAGATTATTTCGTGTAAAATATACACAATGTGTAAAAAAAAAAAAAATTTATTTCGCACAGTATATTAAGATACATTGTCACTTTAGCAATGTGTAAATTCTATGTTAAGTAAGTTTGTAAAACTTATGTGCGGTTTTAAGCATAACACTGGTTGGTTGTTATTGACAAATATATTTTATACATTTTGATTTTGAGCATAACACTGGTTTATTGTTATTGACAAATATATTTTTACACAAAAAATATAAAATAATGGCTGGAGCTAAAAATTCTTTTGATTTTTTCCTTTCTTTTGATCTCGAGTTGTATAAATAATTAAATATTCTAGAATGTTAAGTTTAATATTCAATCTATCCCTCTTGCATCTATTTTTCTTTTCATTTTTGGGAATTTAATATTTTCAGCACAAATTGAAGGGTAAATTGATTCCATTTCTTGACCACAATTTACACTAGACCTAATTGAAAATTTCTTCAACTTGGTAAAAATTACCCCTATTATTTATTATATAAAAGTAAAAAATAGCTCAAATAATCTCAGTTGAGCAACATATATTAAATAATAATAAAATTTTAATTGTCAATTCCTTTCCTGGATTAACTTCTAATCCAAAAATTTGAGATATAAAAAAGAAAGAACAAATATACAACGAATTCATTCTTATTCTACATATATAAACACAATTTTTTGAGAAGTGCTCACAATTTCCATATCCAACAAGTAAACTCCAGAAAAAAAAAAAAAAAAAAAAAAAAAAAAAAAAAAGGTCAAATATTAAAACGAACACATATCTATTACCTGGGCCGCAACAGGCTTCTAATGAGATTTGAACTAATTTTTTAAAAAAAGAAAAAAAGAAAAGAAAAAATCATCACATCCAAATTAAAAATCTTAATAATAACTTGTGACTCTTTCTTTTATGAATAACAGTGTTTTGAGGCAAAATCTAGGGCTAAAAACTCTCTATCTCTCTATCTCTCTCCATGTGATGATTCTAAATGAAATGTCATAAGGAACACGCACAATCTCTCTCTCACACACTATATTTCTCTCTCTTCATGCGATGAGCCTGAATATGAAATGGCATTGTCTCTTGCTATTCAAAGGGCACATCATTGTCATATTGAGTAACCCTTTTCAATAAATTTATAAATATTTTAGGGACCTCTGTGAATGCTATGATAAGTTTTTTCCCACAGCAGTAAGTGCAGCGCGTGAAGAAAAGAAACCCACTGACAAAGCTACCTATTTTTAGCTCAAGAGTTAATTATCATCACCCTTTCCCTTTTGACCATATGTAACTAGTATGTGAATCCACTTGTATAAACCATTACATCACTATTTTGTCCTCTTTGCCGGTGAAAGCTTGAATGATTGGGGTGTATTAAAAATGGAAGATAATACATTATATACTAAAATAGCCTTCAAAATATATTTAATTACCCACCAAGTGTTTTTTTTCCCGGAAGTTAATTACCCACCTAGTTGGTGCCCCTGTTTCTCATCTTCTGATTTGTCAGGAATATATATATATATATATATATATATATATATATATATATATAGTTAATTAGGCATTAGAATATTGAAATTTTAAATCAGTCCAAGATTATTTCGCTTAATCTTTCAAAAAAAAAAAAAAAATGCCTCCATTGAATTTCTGTTTTTCTCTAAGATGTTGCATAGCTATTTATTTTGGTAACTTATATGACATATTAAAAAAAAAAAAAAGTCATTACTTGATATAATAATGAAATATAGATTTCATAACCTTAGGTGTAAGGATACTTACCTGGCCAGACACAATATTGTTCGGTTTTAACTCTCCTGATTTAAAAACTTCTCAGGAAGTCACACATTATGGTACTATTCACGCTTAACTTCGGAGCTCTGGTGGGTTCGTGACCATCACGTCTTTAAAACGCGTTATGTTATAGAAGGGTGTTGAATACATACCACACGTGTCCCATCCACACTCAAGCGATGTGAGATTATGCACCTGTAACTCGCCATTGTGATAACCTACTGGTGCTACCTTCACACACCCTCCCACAAAGTCATCACATTTGGATAGAAGTTCAAAGTCAAGAAATGTGCAATATCAAAACCAAATTCATATTCCTTACCAAAAAAAAAAAAAAAAGAAAAGAAAAAAAACTTCGTGTTTTTTACATATCTTATGATTAAATCATGCATGCATGACAACCTTTTTCTTTTACCAATTTGACATGAATTTGGCACACAACCAAAACTTCATTCTTCGTTATCAAAGAGAAAATCATGTTCTTAAATATTATTATATATTGTTAAATTTGCACATTGTTTTTAACATATATTAGTCATATTCACTAACATGCTCTATTAATATGTATTGGTTTGCTCATATTATCATCTCTCCATTAACTTGCATCCTCTAAGTTATTACTTAATTTTCTTTATAACTTATACAATGTTTCAAGCAAACCAAATCAAGATGCAATCTTACAAGTAAAAAAAAAATGATTGCGTTAAATTTGAATTTGTAAATATAAAATGCAAATAAAAAATAAGTGGAAGATGGAAAATACAGGCATATACATGGTTCGACATTAAGGCTTACATTTATGGACAAAGAGTTACTAAGGACTACATTATTATATTCAGATTTGTTTTGCTTGAGTGCAAAGAGCTTCTATATTGGCACGGTAAAGATAAGAAAATATGGAAGGTGTACAATATTCAAAGAAGGCACCGTGATTGGTGGAGAATTTTGCTCCACTGTTATATAGAAATATTTTTTTAGTTGGAAGGAAATTAACCGGATCACTATAATTGGTGGAGGATTTTGCTCCACAATTATATAGAATTATTTATATATTTTAACACTTCTCTCAAGTTAGAGAATGAATATCATGAATGCCCAACGTGCTAAAAAACGCCTTGAACGATGATGAAAATGTGTCCGGAACAAAGCCAGGAAATTGAACAGATCTTGTAGGGAAAAATGGTCGGAACTAAACCGGAAAATTAACCGGAACTAAGCCATGAAATGGCCTGAACAATGCCGAAAAAAGCTGGGAAATGCCGAAACTAAGCTGAGAAATGGGCTAGAACAACATAGGGAATGCCAAGATGCTGAACCATCCAAAAAATGGACCGAAACTTTGTCGGAAAAATCAACTGGAACTCGCCGAGAATTGGTTGGAACTACATCGGGAAAAGAATGTGAAGACATGGAGAATATATATGCTCTATGATAATAATTTCCATACCCCCCTCAAAATCTAGGATCGATGTTCTAATACCATGTTAAATTTGAATTTGTAAATATAAAATGCAAATCAAGAATAAGCGGAAGATGAAAAATACAAGCATATACATGGTTTGACACTAAGGTCTACATACATGGACAAAAAACTACTAAGGGATACATTTTTATTATTCAGAGTACAAAGAGCCTATATATAGGCACCGTAAAGATAAGAAAATATGGAAGGTGTACAATAGTCAAAGGACACAACATGATTGGTCGAGAATTTTGCTCCATCATTATATAAAAATATTTTTATAGTTAAAATTGACCGAATCACCATGATTGATAAAGGACTTTGCTCCTCAATTATATAAAAATATTTATATATTTCAACAGATTGTATACATTGAAAACTTTCCAAAACACTATCATTATAAATATAAATACGAATCAACATTCTCTTCGATACACTTATATTTCGTGTTACACGAACCAATTGTTACTCAGTTAATTTCAGTCCTCCCTAGTGTACTGCAGAATACAAGTCATTGGAGATGATTCTGTCTAGGGATGTCAATTTTTACCGCCCCGTTAATAACGGATATGGGAATTTTTTTTATACCGTTGGGGCGTGCATGAATACAAATTTTGTGCCCGTCGCGAGTTACGGAGCGGGTAAGGGTTCAGTATACATATCTTAGGGGCCCCACTCCACTAAACATATAACTATATTTATATATATATATATATATATATATATATATATAATATTAATAACTTATTTTAGCGGCTTACCTAGTTACCCATCTCTTACAATCCTAATTTGGGATGTAAACTTGGTATTAAATTTGCTTTTGTTTTGGTTATGGTGGAAGTTGGAGTTTAGAACTTCTTGTGATTTGATTCTATTAAACTTTTATTTTTATTTATTATGTTCTCTCAATTATGTTATATGCATGTTATTTTTTTTATTTTTGTTGATACATAATTTCATTTATGTTGTGTCATTTTTAGGCTTTCCACATTTAAATAGTAGGAGCTTAAGTTTCAAAAAGTGGGACAAAAAAATTTGTTAGCGGGGCGGGCACGAGGGCACGGTATTTCCCAACGGGGCAGGGTTGGACGTGAAAATCCAACCCGTCGCAGGTCTCGGAGCGGGCATGAACTTGACAAAAATTAAAAGGGGCGTGGCGGAATTTAGGAAAACTCGCTCCAAACCCGCCCCGTTGCCATCTCTAATTCTGACTCATAAATACATGGTGTGATGCTAATTACACGAAAATATTTTCTATTTTTGGGTGATTAATTATGAAGGAATTTTTTTTTTTTCTTTTGGAAAATTAAATTTCAAAGCCATTTCTTTCCTAGAATTCTATTGGATCTCTCTCTCCCCCACTATCTGACACACAGCTCTCTAAATGGCGTAAACTGGATGCCTGATAGTGCAAGCAAAGCAATCACATTACCCTTTTTATCGCCCTCTCTAGAACAGTAAAACTCACTGTATTCCTCTTTGTCTGTAAAAAAAATCTGCTTTTTTTTTTTCTCTCTCCTCATCACTTTTTTTTTTGCCACTCACTATTGCTATAAGCTCATGTTTAGTGCTTCACTAGCTAAACCTCACCTGCAAAACTCTCTCCATTCTCTCTCTCTCTTTCCCTTCCCTTCCCTTCTCTTCTCTTCTCTTCCCACTTGCTATACAACCTTTTTAATCCAAAACCTCTATATTCACTCCATTTTCTTTCCCAAAATATTATCTTCTCTTACACAGCTTTGTCTTTAGCAATGGAAGGTCTTTAATCTCAAGAATTCCAAAGAGAAGATTATGTAAGTGATCTGTTGGAGAAGATATAATCATACTGTCTTAATAGTTTACATGCCATTTTCTTCATCTCTTTGTTTAGTGTCCCAAGTCATCTTCATATACTATCATTGTCTTTTTCAGGAACTGTTTTTGAGTGTTGACTCCCTTCTCTCTCTCTCTCCTCCTCCCCCTTTCAACAGTTAGAGAGAGAGAGAGAGAGTTGTTTGCTGAATTCCCTTGTCTTTGTTTTTTTCTTGTCTCCATAACTTTGGAGACAATGAGTTGCATATCCAAAGTCTAGGTTTTTGTTGCAATTGCATAGTTTTTTTTAGTTCAATTACATGGGACCAAAGTATGTGTTTCTTAACATTTTCATGAGTGGGTCACTTTGGTATGCAACTATGTTGTCATTCTAGTTTGTTCTAAACTTTTGTTGCTTCCAAAAGAGTGGACAATATATATTATCAAGAAAAATTCCCAAGAATTTAAGACTTCAAGAACTTTCAATTTTAATCATTTAGGGCTTCTTGTAAGTTGTAACTCTCTCCCCTTTCTTGTTCTCTCTCTTTTGGTCTCCAAACAAACAACACAAATTTTAAAAGATAAATAGAAAAATGGAACTTTCAAGTCAAGAAGGGGAGATCCCAATTCCAATTAACAGCTCATATGGTGGGGGACATGGGCATGGGCACATGATCCATCATGATCCTGAACCTCGCAATCAAATCCCTTCCAATGGCCCCATACCCTCAAACCTGGAGGACCATGTGCCCTACAAGAAACTGGTCAGGTACAGGGAATGCCTCAAGAACCATGCAGCAGCAATGGGTGGGAGTGCCACAGATGGTTGTGGGGAGTTCATGCCTAGTGGAGAAGAGGGTACCCTAGAAGCCCTAACCTGCTCAGCCTGCAACTGTCATAGAAACTTCCACAGGAAAGAAACAGAAGGTGAGCTGCTGCAGCTCTCCTCATCCTGTGATTTCTACCACAGCCCACATCCAAACAGGGTTGGGAGGAAAGTCATTTGGGGCCATCACAAGAATATTTTAGGCCCAGAGGCTCTAGGGTACCCTACAGGACCTCATATCACACCTTCCAGAGCTATTGCAGCACCACCTACCCACCAGATGATAATGTCCTACAACATGGGGGGGTCCCTACCTTCAGAGTCTGATGACCAAGAAGATGGTGATGGTGGTGGTGGTGGTGGGGTTTTGTCCAGGCCACCTCAGCTGGTGAAGAAGAGGTTCAGGACAAAATTTTCCCAGGAACAGAAGGAGAAAATGCTCAACTTTGCTGAGAAAGTTGGGTGGAAATTTCAGAAGCAAGAGGAAGCTGTGGTGCAACAGTTCTGCCAAGAAATTGGAGTCAAGAGAAGAGTCCTCAAGGTTTGGATGCATAACAACAAGCACAATCTTGCCAAGAAGAGCCCCTCCACTGATCAAAATCAAATTTAGAAAAAGAAAAAAAAAACTGTGCTTCGTTTTTTTCTTTCTTTTTTTTAACCATTTCTTTCTCTGAGTCTGTTGAGTTATCTTTATATCTAAAATAATATTGCTTATGTAATGTAGTGAAGAAAATTGAGTATGGTAGAGTTTCAAGTTTGTGGGTGATGTTCTTTGTCCAATTAGAAGAAAGGGATTGATATACAGTTTGATATATTTCTTCCTACTTATGAATATTATCGTCTATGATTGTTTTTCCTTTTCTTCTTAAATATAGACTATAGTATTAAGTTTCATACATACAATTTTTTTTCCTTTCTTTTGACACCAAAAATATTAAATTTTAATTCTAAAAGTAAGAAAAGTGCTTATACTAGTCTTGAAATTGGATCTTATATATATATATTCTGTCTTGGATACTTGTATAAAGAAGAAGAATGTTTCAGCATCTTCTGAGTTCTCTATATAGAAGGATATTTTAACCTATTTTCACTTGATAAGCAATACATTAAATTAACTAAAATGCTAATAAGACATTAATTGATAAGATTTTTTAGATTCTATTGTTGGTGAGGAATTGACTGACACTTTCCTAGAGGTGAGAAGGCATTTTTGTTATTATTGTTGCTAGTAGTATAACCTTGTTGGTTGGTTTACTTACTCTCTACTTAAGTACAAAAGTCTCTTTTGTTCAACACCAATTTTGGATAATTTGAAATATATATATATATATGTATATCTTTTCTATTCATATTTGGTATTCTATTTGTGAACTATGTGCTTAATTTTTCTTTGTTGACTTCACACTAATCTGAATTGACAAACATTTTGGCAGAAGTTTTAAAAATATTAATACAGTTGAATTTTACTAATATTTTCTTCTTATTTTGAAGAAGAGAAGTTTGATTTAAAAAAATAAAGCAAAAACTACATAAATAGCTTAGTCTAATCCAACACTTAATCTTACAAATTTATCTGGTTTGCAAATTTTGAAAAATGTTCAGAAATTAGGATGCACTCATACCTCTGTAATCTACAATCTGATAATTAATCAGTGATTAATCTATTAGTTTATTAGTATAATATATTCCATTTCACCAAAAATCATGCTTAAATCATTAGTTTTAAAGACAATCATTGATATTTAGAGTTCTTTATTAATTGACACTGAATTAAGATGCAACACTTACTGTCTAAAGTTAAGATGGCATGGCAACTAATTCTACATGAATTATTGCCAACAAAAAAAAAAAAATACATATATACATATATATACATACATATATATGTATATAAATTTTCCTACAAATATATAATTATATATGTGTGGTATTTAATTTAACATTTAGAAAGGGACAAAGACCGTTTCTCCAGTGGAAACACAAATGGAAAAGGCTGATTGTGATTTGATCATTACTTAATCTATATATATATATGTTGAGCTCATCATCTAGGGCACACATGTTTAGATGAATATATAATAAAATATAATTGTCTGTAACATCATCACATGTTTCACTGGATAGGTTTAATTCAAGACCACTCACTCAATCAGGCTCAGAACTGTTCTGTAATTTTCACATGCATCCCTAATGTCTTCAATTTATGACACACATCAACCTAAGATGACCATAATATTTAATTCCTCAAAAGGGCATTTAATATAGCATATATATATTATTAAATTCCTCAAAATTAAGGACATTTAATAAAACATGGGATGTGGGTGTACTCTACAGCTTTAGTGTTATGTTTCTCTCTTAAATAATTGGTATTAAATTCCTCAAACTAACAACTGCTACAGTGTTAGTGGTTCGATGGTACAAAATTTTAAATGGACAAAATGAATATTAGTGTATTTCTTATTAAAATAAAAATATACATATATATATATATATATATATATATATAATTGGTCGGATCATAAATTAAATCAACTTTGGCGTTCTCACTCACACACAAAGATCATATTTTTCTTGACGTGGCAATTCTACAATGCCACTAACACGCTGCCATTCATTGCAAGAGTCGAAATAACCGACTACTCGAGCATCACTAATGAGTCCAGCTACTCTCCTACTTGTTACCCTCGATTTTATTTTTATTTTTTGCAAATTTTGTTTTGAAGGTACAAACAAAGATGGTGTTTCACCTTTGTAGATTTTCATTTTCTGGGTTAGGAATAAAGGAGGGTAAAAATGATAATTTAACCTTCTTTTAAGAGGTGTCTTAATTTCAAAACGATGATCTTCTGAGCCAAAATAAATATGCCTATTGCCTAGAGGACAAATTTAATGGAGCTATGCTGTACTGAAATGACACATCTACCCGTAAGGCACCAGTAGAGTGGAGTCCGTAAACTGTAATGTCTCCTGTAAGGTCAGTTACAACATTGCTGTATAACTGGATTCCCACTGGGCCCATGTCACGTGGAACGCCACAATGGAAGGGTAAATGATTCGTCACAGGGTACAACTTTCAAATGACACACCACCTACACAGCACTCTGTGTTAACACGGCACGACATAAAGTACATACGTGGCATGTAATTACCACACATACTCGAATCGAATATCAAAATCTTCTAAAGTATATTACCAAGTATATTATCAATTTTCAAGTATATTTAATCTCGATTATTATCAAGTATATTACTAAAGAATTGTATCATCAAAAATTACACTTTTATGTAGCATATACTATGTTCTAAGTGTCACATTTCAACTAAGTCTCACACGTACGGGTAAAAGATTGACACATATGAGTTGGTGTGACTCAACTCAATAAAGTTATGGAAGCACATGGTGCCGACAGGAACAAACCTAAGAATTTGGCTTTTCATTTTCTCTTAATATAATAATAATATATCATATAATATCTTTCACCGTACCGGATAACCAGAAATTTTTACGTAGCCGTATGCAATTTGGTGAGACCATGAATTTTTTTTTTTTTTACCACCAAAAGAAATCCCCGAATTTTTTTTTTATTTTTTATTTTTCTTTCTATAACGTGGAAAGCAAAACCCGTTTAAAAAAAAAAAAAAATTACAAATTTGAAAAACAAAAATGGACTCTTTTGTTTTACTGGACTGCTATACTTCACAGCTACGTGGTAACTGTGGTTTTTTTTCTCTCTTCAGCTGAAGATGAAGATCATTCAATCCTCCTTATGGCAAGACAAAGACTATGCACTGTGTGCCTACATTGAGGACTGACCGTTTCTATGACAATATACTCCCATGATTCCTTTGGTGCAATGCGAGCCCATCCAGCTGTGCACGTCGCCTTGTCCATAGAAGTTGTTCTAACGGTCAAAACGAATCTGAGCACCTAGGGCAAGCCAGACGCAAGTTTGTGTAGAGGTCGTGAAGTCTAGCATATCACCTCAATTCACCACTTCACAAAGGCGAGCTCGGCCAGGATTAAGAAGTGATTCGGACATCACCCATCCCTGCACGAAATGAAAATCATTGGCATGTTCATAAGAGCAGCGTAACAATCAATGCAATTAATCAAGTAATGGTGCCAATGTTTGGTCAGTCAGAGCCAATCTATCAGTCGAAAATGATTAAAGGATCAAGGGACTGTGAATACATATTTTGAGTCACCAAATCTATGCTCCATTTAATAAGACGGATGGAATACTGGAAGGGAAGAAAGTTTATTTGGCTGAACAAGAGGAAACAATGAAAGAAGATTGCAAGATTTTACTAACATGACCATATCTATTGAAGTATAAGTTCTTTTCTGAAGGGCATAAAAGGTAAGGAAATAAAAGGAGGGGAGCCCTTTTCTCTCTTTCACTATTAAACTATAAAAGCTCAATTCTTTCCTCCCTCCACCCCAACACCCTCCCACCAAATGGACCACTAGTGTTTCGTGGACCACGTCATGCATGGAAGACCCAAATCACGAGGGTACCAACATATTGTGCCAACACAGATATTGACATTAACAACACATAACTGTTCACCTCAAGAGGAAGCAGTAAATCACATGTTCCCACATTTTAACCAAGTACATTCAACAGCAATAGAAATACTATAAAGTAAAAGGAAGATGTGTTGTTCTTCCCCCCTACCTGTTCCATAGCTATTCTCTTGAAAGGTGCGTATAAAGCTGAGACCATCTTATAAGATTCCACAATATGAGCTTCAAGAGCAGGAGTAGGGGGCAATAACACTGAATGATCATTTTCCTGAAGCTTTCTAGAAGAAGATTGATTCTCATCTGATGAACGAATGATATGCATAAGCACATGAGCCTGTCATGCAAAGGTAAAGTTAGTTTAAACCACAGCTATGTAAAGTTCCTGGTGATATATAACACAAAGAATCGTTGCCTCACATGGAAAGCTGCTTTCAAAATGTCATCTGATTTTGCTTGATCCTTGAGCAATGCATATATATTACGCTTAGAAGGATTGTATGTCACAATATATCTCTCTTTCTGTAACCCAGGAAAAGAGAACATGCATTACTATGTGAGAGGTGTAATTGACAAGCAAGCACAACCATGTGCGTGTGAGAGAGAGAGAGAGAGAGAGAGTTTGCATCTTGAATATCATCTCTCTTTAAAAAGGAGGTATACCTCAAAGACGGGTTCTACGGCAAGATATGAATTTGGGTCTTGGAACGCATCCTTAAATCTTGGTCCTGCCAAACAATTACAATTAACTTAAGCAGAAACAAGTGAATGAATTCTATGATTCACATGAATTTTAAAGGAAATATCCGTACCAAGAACGATGGGCCTGTGTTTTGCCCATGGAAAACTGAATATATTTTCCATCATATTTCCCTCCTGCAAGGTTGGAACTCGGCCTGTCTTAAGGAAGGACTCTACTGCCACAGTGAATCTTGCCCGATTCAGTGTATGCAGCACAACAGATTTTACCTGGAAAAATATAAAACATTGATGCAATTAGAAAATTCAGTCAGTGTCAAAAGAATAAAATACAATTTTTAACATTGAGATGAAAAATATGTATACTGTTTATACTGTGTCAAACCTCTTGGTAAGAGCTGAGAACATATCCACATGAGAGGAGTGCAAATGTGGTAACTAAAGATGGATTTCTTTTTGCAAGCATGATACTCAACCCGGTACCCAGCTTCATAGGAAAAAGAAAAGGTTTACTGAAATTAGCTAAACAGAAATTGCAGTCTGCATAAGCAGGTATATTACAGAATACTACATCAACAGGGAAAGAGTAAAAAGAAAAATGCCCTATTTTAACTTTTTTTATCCATGCCAGGAACACTAACAAGTGGATCTGAACAGAGGACATCAATATCCTTGTCATAATTCCAATTTTCACAAGATATTGGCACCAACTAATATTTGTCTCAATCTCCTAAAGCATAAGCTTCTGGAAATTCAAAAGAGAGATCAGACAAGCATACCAGATCAGCAACATTGCCAACACATTCTCCTTTTGCAGTAACATCTCCAATGTTTTCTCCTTTTGCAAAGGCTTTGTATATTGGAGTACGAGTAGATGTTGATGTGACAGCACCGACATTCTACAAGTAAATGGAGACGAATGTAAAACAATGGAACTAATTCAACCACGCATAAATGATCCTGTATAGAATGAAGAATAAGGAAAAGAAAGAGCAAACCTTAGCCACATTGGCAACACAGGCCATCGGCAGAAAAAGGTGAGGCATAGCTGCAGTTGCCAATTCTATCCCAGCACCCAACTCCATTAGAAGATCGCCTGTAAACCGAAGCTGATAGACTCAAGATTTTCAAGAAAAGTAGTCTTATTAATCAGAATACCGACCAAACAATATTAATGACAAAGGTGAACATCTTCAATTCTAATTTCACCTGTTTCAGGTCATAATCAAATTTCTTCCCTTGCCGAGCAAAAAGCATTTTTCCAACCCGACCAGCACCATCCTATACACATAAAGATATACCATGTTTTTATATTCACAAAATACAAAATCACCAGTAACATCTCTAATTAACCAGTTTTGAACACTGAAGAAAAATTAGTAAAGTCAACCACGGTAGGAAACATGAGAAGACCCTAAAGACTCTGACCAATTAGCAGTAAAATCTTTAAACAACTTAGTACATAAACATTTTATAGCTGGGTTTTAATGCCAAAAAGTTTTAATTACAAATAGATCTTGAGCCATGCATTAAAATTTTCAAATTTTCAAGGAATGCAAAAGAGCATACATAAACTCATCAAAATTAAAATCACCAATAAAAAATCTTCAACTTCCCTTTGATTTTTCCACAGTTCAATTAGAATTGTCTGCTTAGGCACCATTTTGAGACTTTTAGACTAATAAAAACTCTCTGTGAAATATGCCCCATCTGCTACCTTGTGGCAGATTCAGAAGAAAGAAGATGCTTGAGCTTCTAAAACAGAAAACAGAGAAATGGCAATACTATTTGTTTCCAGGTGGAAGAGAAATTCAAGTTAATAAGAATGAAAATAGAGAAAGAGAGATTCAAGCACCCCTTTTTTGATGGTGTTCCTCTTCATTGGGTTTAAGATAGGTTAAACAGGGTAAAGCAGTGTAACGGCTGGGACAATATCTTTGAAATGGGTAAAAGGGGAGGAGAGGGGGGCACCCAGGGTGAGGTAACCAGCTAGGAAGAAACTATTTTGATTATTTACAGGGTTTTCATTTTTGGCTTTTGTATTGATCACTAACTGAACTCTCTTTTTCAGGTGTCAAGAACATGATAAATAATTGAAGTTAAGACCGCATAATCCCACATTCCAATTTGAATGGAACCCATATATTAAAAAAAAATTCAAAAAAAAAAAAAAAAAAAAAAAAAAAAAAACCGGAGGAATTTTAAACTGCACAATGACAAAAGAAATACCTCAACTTTTAGTTACAGATATTGTAAATAATAGAAAATACAAATTCTAAAATGACCAAGCATACTCAATCATTAAAAAACCTAAATTTGCAATTATAAATAATATCATGTAGATTATCTATCCAAAAATGTCTAGAAATAAAATAAATAAAGTAATGAAAGTGTTAAAGTAAATGATGATGGCAGTTTAACTGCCTCATAGTGCCATGCTCTCTGAGTGTGGCAGATCTCAAGTAAGCATAGAAGAAAAACTTACACCAAGAGAGACAGTAACTACTAGCAATATTTATAAAGAGACGCCAAATCCTAATTGGTACCAAAGGCAAAAGCTACCAAAAGCTGCCTCTAAAAATTAATCAATTGTACAAAATAGGAATGCTAGTTCATGCCAATTATATGAAGATCACGTATACCTTCAGAATCCAGTTGATTGCTACAGCTCCCGGAGTTGCTCTGTTTCTGGAGACTCCAACCGAATTCAGAAGTGTTTGTGTTGTAAACACACCCATAGCTCCACCAAAGAAGTGCTAAAATGAACATGGTAATCATTATTACAGCATTTAATAGAAGCAAGACAATGAAGAGCTTAAATAGCCACAGTTACTATATAAATCTCCGCAATTGAGTAGTTTTTTTGTCCTTCACAGATAGCGCTGACAACATAGTTTCAAGAAAAATACCTTCAAAGCCCTCCATGTCATGTATGGCACATATGAAGGGGTAACACTATCGGGGAAACCTTCTGGCACTACATATGATCTTATGAATGACATCAATTCCTGCACCAAATTGCAATACAAAAGAACAGTACAATTCGCTTCAGAAACTGAATATCGTCATGACCCTTTATCTAATATTCCAATCCAAAGACATGAAAATATGCACCTGTACGGGTAAATATCTATAAACAATAAACATCAACATTTTCTCTCTTTTTTCTAATTCTTACATCAAATTTTGTATGTGTATGGTTTACTATGAGAAATTACATAAAGCATTTCTCATGAGAAGCACGCAATGATGATGACCACGATCTTCTCACCAACATCATCACCAAATTAAGTAAGTATTGTGAGTTATGAATTCAATGCAACATTAACACTATCAACAAAATTAAAACTTTAGAAGTTTCAAACAAGCCGCATGACGGAAAAAAAAATATATATATATGCATGAACTGATTACAACATACATAGACTAGTATATATTAATGTTGATCAACATATATAATAAGAATACATAATATATATACTCAATTAAAGTAAAATAAAAATCTTTCCCATACAACGTCCAATTGGTAAATCGCATGCTCACATTCAGAAACACAAGAACAATTGTGTATCACACAAAAACATCAGTGAATTAAGTGTAAATAAAACACGCATAACTAAGTGCATATATGCAAAATATTCAAATTCCGTATAAGCAGATTACATATAACCGAAAAGAAGAAGAAGAAACTGACATCAACAGGTGCCTGGGGATTCTGCAAGCTAATGGCACGGATCGATCCCTTCTTGAATTGCCTGGAACCGGCGTTTTGAGCGAAGTACTTCCATCTCCGGCCATCGATTTCTTCGCAACAGATCAATCTCAAGCTGGAATCAACAAATTGCTCTTCAACGATCCCCAAGCTGGCCTCGTGCGGTCTCAATCCAGCAGCGTTCTCCGCCCCCACCACCGATGGCGGCGGAGCAGAGGCGAGGTTGGCGCTGATTCGGAGAGTCTCGCGGACGAGGAGGTCGTGAGAGGGGGTGGTGGCGGTGAGGGTTTGAGGGGATGAGTTGGAGGGCTGTTTGAGCTTCATTGAAGAATTGGAGTTGAATTGGAAAATGTAGTGTAGGTTTTGAGAATTGAGAATTGAGAATTGAGAATTGAGAATGAGAAGTGGTGGTGGTTTTTATGGAGGAAGTGAGGGCTTTGGTATTGACGAGAGAGGCATTTTCCCGCTGTGAGAAGGAACAAAAGGCAGGTGGCCAACAAACGGAGCTTAAGAGGTAGAGAGAGAAAGAGAGGAGAGAGAGAGACAGATACGTATGCAGAGGGAAATAAAGCAAGTTATTTTTTCAGAGAGAGAAGGAAAAGTGCTTTGTTTCTCTCTCTAGAGGAGAGAGAAGGAGAGAGCAAGAAGTATCTGCTTGTGATCTGGTTACGACTATTATGGAGTCTCTGTGACATCGACCGCACGTGGACACTGAACGATTTGTTGATTTTTTTTTTCAATATTGCCCAATTTTATTAAAATGCCTTTAAAATTATAGAAATAATATTCGCACTATACTTTTTTCTAATTACACCTTCTCTTTTTCTTTTAAAGAAAATGATAAAAAAAAATTCTTAAACCCAATTACAACTCTTTCTTTTTTTCTTTTTCTTTTTTTTTTTCCTTTTTTTACCTTCTTTACTATTTTTTTTTCTTTTTTCCAAAGGTCCTCTCAAAGAAAATAATTTATTCTATATTAATAATTTTATTTTTGGTAGTCAAATGGGATAATTTATTCCATAATAACTTCTTTTTTTTTCTTTTTTTTTTTAACAATCCAAAGAGATATTTATTTAACAAAATTGATTTTTTTTCAATTTTGTTAAAAGAAGTAACTTTATTTTTTTGTAAATTTTTATGGGTTATGTCAAAAGAAATAATTTATTAGATAAAATAACCTTTTTTGTACTTTTTATTATTATTATTTTTTGGGATCTTGACAAAGAGATAATTTATTCAATAAATATATTTTTTTGGGATTTATTACTCTTTTTTTTTATCCGGACAAAAGAGACAATTTATTCAACATAACAAATTTTTTTTTTTTTTTTGGTCTCTTAAAAAAAAATTTATTTGTGTTGTCAAAAGATATTTAAAATATTAAAGATTAGAGATAAGGAGAGAAAATATGAAAGAATAATTGTGTCATTTAAAAAGTAATAATTATTTACTTGTAAAGTTAAAGTTAAAATTGTCATTTCATTTAAGATTGTAGTGCATATGTTGAAAGGTAGAGTGCATATATTGCCTCCCTAAAATTATTTTATATTAAAATACGAATTATATCATTTACCTCTAATTTGTCGTGGCGTTTTCCTATTCAAAATAATTTACTTCTTTGTGTTTTAAATTATGCAATTGCAAACGAGATTTTTGGAAGATCAATATCCAATTTATATCCAAAAATGTTATTAAAATTAAAAGACTAACTCAAATAAATAATGCCAAAAGAATTAACAAATTAAGTCATGCAAATTTTAGATATGTTGATCCTTTATCTTTTAGTTTGATTATTTTTAAAATGTATTTTTTATTTGGCCTTTGATTGATTAGTTCAAACATTAACAATCCGAAAATGATCAATGTATGTTTGCCTTCTCACCGGGAAGATTTTTCTTATCAGTTATTCCTGATGTGGTACAATGATTAAATAATACGTCTTTATTTTGAATTTAAAATATATAAATAAAAAAAATTAAATTAAATTATTTTTATTTTTATTTTTATATAATCTAAGGTTTTTTTTTAAAAAAAAATGTGATATTCTATCATTATGGGTCTAGTATCTCTATAAAATTTCGAGATTTTTGTTTTGTAAAGAGTCCTGGTATCATTATGGATTGAACCGACTTAGCTTGAGTTGGTGTGAGGCACTAAAATCATATGACCTAACCCCAACTTTAAATGGAGAAGAGCCGTTTATTTAGTTGGGCTGCTAGTCCCATCCTTTTTTTTCGGTGCATTTGTCCACAACATTAAAACCCAAAAAGCCATTGTCAAACAACATTGACAGCTTTGCCGCCAATTTTTCCTAATAGCAAAGCACACACTTCGTAAGCACATGACAAACACAAAGAAGAAGCTAGTCATGACATTGGTGCCTAATAGCATCCCCGAAGCGCCCTCTAGAATTAGTCTTTCTGAATTTGCTACGTTAGTATTTTTTAATAGTTATGTCAACATTTTTCATAATCATGTCAGCGTTTTAGAGTCTTCAAATTTTATCTATCGCATGTATTCTAATGGTGCATTTTCACTTTAAAAAAAATATTAGGGTTTTAATATTTTTAATAAATTTTATTTTTTAACTTTTTCCCAACGGCTATATTTATAACAGTGAAGAAAGTGTTTAATTTATGTTACATTTATTTACTTTTAAATTGTTATGAAGTTTATGCAATGGAATATTTATTGTGTTGTTTTATTTTAAAATAAATAATTAAATTGTTTGTTGATTAAATTATTTAGTCAATATATATGAAATCTTGTAAACAATACAATATCTAATATCATTTGATTTATTAATTTATAGAGGTGAAAACAAAGATACATTTTTTTAATAAAAAAATCATATTTTAAAATAAATTTCAATTTGTTAAGGAAAACAAATATAAAAAAAAAAAAATTTGTTTCATTAGCCAATATAGCCATTAAGACACTGTTTGGGTCAGCCAAACAATACCTAAAACTGCTATAATGTCGATAGGTACATTAAAAATTTTGAAAAGGAGAAAAAATCACTTTTTTTTCAATTTTTTAAAACCTTTTTTGGCCCAAAAAAGCCTTTAAGACACTATTTGTGTCAGCCAAACAGTGTCTTAACAACTCTTTAGTTCAATTATTTTGAGGAAAAAAAAAAAAAAAAAAGACCAAAATAACCCAAATAAAAAATGACCAAAATAACCCAAAAATCTAATTTTTTTACTTTTATTTCAGCCAAATATATCTTTACAAACAGTCTTCTGGGCTAAAAAAATACAGGCGGACCTGCATGGCAAGCCCACGCTCACTAACAGGGTTTTCCCGATTGGCCCAATTTTAGCGACTCATAATGGAGTAGTTGGATAGCCAAGATGAGCCCAAATCGCCACGGTCAACCTGCGTTGGAGCTGCTTTAAAAGGTTGTGGATTATGTAAAAAAAATTCAAATTGTCATTATTGACCAAGTTATATAAGATATTAGGGTTACATCGACCAAAGTTAGGTTTATGAAAAAGAGCGCACCTGTGATAATTGTGCATTCATGATAAACTCGTAATTTAATATGTTCGATTTATTAAATGATAACATTGTTTGTAAATTCTATGGACGAGGACACTCTATCATCCTAATCATAGCATTTTCATAAAAGAAATATTGGAGCTCATTTTGTTCCACATAAATGGTAATGTACCTACCCGACCAATACAACTTCCCATGACATGAGGAATAACTTTTTTTTAGATTTTTCTTTGAAAATCTTAGACCAGAGATAGTTTACTAAATAATACCTTTATATTGAATTAAAGTTATGGTTATAGATAAAAGAAATAACTTGAAAATCTTAGACCAAATATAGTTAATCAAATAATACCTTTATATTCAACTAAAGTTATGGTAATAGACAAAGGAATAACAATATATATATATATATATATATATATATATATATATATATATTCCAATTACCAACCTAAAAGAATTGGGAGAACACTTTTTGAGTTAAAATGAGTATATATGTTAACTCAATTTCTGATTTTTTTTTTTAAAAAAAGAGTATATGGTAACTTCATCACCATAGACAAATTCTTTTGTTTTATTATACAAATTCTTTAGATTAATCCAATATTTTGAACAAATTTGATAATCCAAAATCCATCCTATATACTTCAGGTTCTTTGAATAGTTTCAAATGTATATGATATTAACTAGTAGCTCCCATAAGAGTCATCAAATTATTCAAAAAAACTATGGGAAAATATCTCATTTCTATAATTATATTGCTTTATTGCTCAACATTTTATATTTGGATTTCTAAAAAGATTATTTAATTTTTTTTTTTTTTTAATATGTCCTGTTTTCAAGTAATTTTAAAACTAAATATATTTGTTTTGTTTCCCGAATTTATTACTACAATACATAAAATCGTCAAAAATATATATATATATATATCACTGAACAAAATAAATAAATCCTTTCATCAATGTAAAATTACACTAAAATGCTTTGTGTGTGTGTTTGTGTGTGTAGGCAGCTCCAAGGAGGGGTTCTCTGACATCTATTTTCTTGGGTTGCTGAGGCGGAATGGATGAGAATAGGCCCACCAACTCAACCTGCAAATTGCGAAGAGGATTTGAGGCCTGTGGGCCACAACTCTTATTTGAGCTGTTCATGAACACTGCCACAGGCCATAACATGCAACGACAAATTGAAATTTATTTAGACTCACAAATTAAATGGGCAATTTGGAGTTATGCACTAAAAATTAAAAACAAAAACATATATGTAAGAAACATATATGTATGATGTTTGAAATGTGTCATGATATTTTTTTTAAAAAAATTTGTGTTTTGGAACCATTGATATTAATTTAAAATAATTTATAATATATTAAATTTTTTTGACCAAATTTATATAACCAAATTAATAAAATTGTATATTTTGATATTGTAATGGAGGAATTAAAATAAATTTTAATTTTTTTAATATAAATTTTTATTATCAAATATGATCCAATTTTTATTCAAAATACTCTTATAATAAAATGAGTGTTTTAATATTGAAAAAAAAAAAAAAACATAACCATAAAACATATGGCATGTCCAAACACGTAACTCCCAATTTGTTCTCATAGTCATTGTTCTCTCACATACATAGATAAAAATGGCACTTGGGCTCTCCTTTCCAATTCCTGTATCAGCCTTCCCAACATCACCCAAAACCACTCAATCAAATCTCTCTGCACAAATCAAACCCACTCCCATTTGTACCCAATTCATCAAATCCACAACAATCACGTTTAGGAGGAGAAAATTCTTGTTCTTCATCAAAGCCATCGACAACAACGAGCTTGAGTCTGAATCCGAAACTGCAAGTGCCCAACAGAGCGCTTCAGCTGATCCACCACAACCAGATAGTCTATCGGAATTGGGTTCGGAGATCAAGAAAGCGATGAAGGAGAGAGAACAGAGACAAGGCAAATATGGAGACTTTTGGAGCGGAGTCACTGAGGAAGTCAGAGAGATCGAGTGGCCGGCTTTTGGGAAAGTCTTGGGAATTACGGGGGTCGTGCTCGGCGTCATCGCCGGCTCGAGTGTCGTTTTGCTCACTCTCAATGCCGTTTTGGCCGAATTCTCCGATCGGGTCTTCGCCGGAAGAGGGGTTCAGGATTTCTTTTAGTTGATAGGAAGAAGATAAGGAATTGGTTTTGGAGTGATTTAGTGTGCGAGGTTCTAGCTCCCTCACCCTACCCTTGCTACTCAAATCAGGACAAGTGGAAGGGAAATTTCTCAATTTTGTGGGCCACAATAGGTGGGTCCCATGGCACCCTTTTAGAGTTGAATGCCAAGAAGCTTTTCAGTATTCATCCTTGTGTGTAATTTTGTTTGACCGATCTGTCTGCTCTCACTTTTTTTTCCATCTAAGAACACTATTTAAGCCCTTGTACGCATTTCGGTCTCATTGGAAACAATTTGTGAGTCAATGTTTGACCTTAATTGCTGCTATAACTAGACATACTTTACAAACTAAGCTAATTGACACCTTATTGAGAGGAGAACTTTTGATATGTTAAAATTTAGATAAGTACCGTAGTAACCTAATGATAAAATGAGCCAGAAAATTTCAATAATCTTACTAATTATAGAGAAATTTTTAATATGTTAGCTTTATTCACATTTCATATTATGGAGACCCATTTAAGAATTTAATTTTTTTGTTACCTTAATAACATTCGGTTCACAATAGATGCTCAAAACTGGAACAGCCTAACCAGAGAAAAGCAAATGCCAATGATCTTCCAACTAATTGAAAACAAAATCCCAGATTCATATCTGTTACAATCAATTAACCTGATTGACCAAACGCTCAGGGTTTAAACATCCTGATACATAAAACAAGCTAAATATTCTTGAAAACAGCATCCGGGGAAATAACATTACAAGGAATATGAAAAACACAAGACCACTCTATTCGTTTGCAGGACCTACAAGAACACCCTGTGCAGAGCCTTCCTTCCTGCTATTCTCATCATTCACCTCATCAGCTTTTCTAATCCTGATTTTGTATTTAGCCTCAAAGTCGACAATTTCCTTCTTCTTCTTGTCCAATGCTTCATGAAGCCGAGCAATTACCTCCTCAAGCCCCTCCTTGTTGCGCTGAACAGCAGGCATGACCTCTTTAATGGTTCTCTCCACTAGCACTCCTCCAATCATCCGGTAACACTTCCTTGAAGGATCGAGTGGTTGAATGGCATTGATCACCAATGAGTGCTCACTCACTTCTATCTCCAGTTCAGTTATTTTTGAGTAAATTTGGTTGATTTCAGACCTCATGGAACCATATATGTTGGCCACAGCTTGCTCATTTATTGGCTCCTTACCACCACCTTCAGCTTGCCCAGCCATAGCTCTGATCAAATCAAGAAACAACGAAGATAAATCAATCATTACTGTAATGCTTCCACGCTATGAATGGATCAACAGATGGCTGCTTGCAGATTCTTTGTGCAATCCGTAAAACAGATTACTCAACAAGAATTTGCTAATATGAAAGACGTTCAAGTGATGTGTAAATGTGCATACAAAAACTATCTGTACAAGTTTTGTCTTGCTTTCAACCAGATAATGAGTTTGTAATGAGTTAAGGTTCCATCAGGGTAAGTAAGGTTTCTATTCAATGAGAAGATTATTGCACTATTCTGAATAAAAAGCAAAATTATCAATCCTTCTCGATGATTTCACCACCTTTCTGGGAGAACTGAGAAAGTAAGCACGGAGGCTGCAAAGAAGGAAAAAGGAAGCATACACCACTAGAATAGCCTTACCAAAAAGGGACCAGAACACCAGGAGTACGGCTGCAAACGAGCCAAGCCGAGATGGCATTGTAACCTTGTTTGAGCTTGGCTCCAATGTGCAGCAAGTGTGTTTGCTCTTGGCTTCTCTATAGTTGAGGAAGCTCAAGCTGGGTTAAATTAGCTCATTTGACTTGGCAAACCGAGCTTGAGCTCAAGACTGATTATGCAGTAATGAATGCTCTAAACCCTTAATGCCCAACTCTCTCTATGGCCTATCATATTTTTATAATTTTATTTAGAGAAAAAAGATAAGTGGAGCGTCAATATCATCAGCTACTGTTAAGTATACTGTTAGATTACAATTGCTGTTTAAGTATCATGTATCATAGTATTAGATTACAATTGCTTTCCAGGATGCTGCCCCATTATGCCTTGTGGCTCGGTCAAGATGGGACATGAATGAATTACATGGATGATTGATGGGTATGAAGAGATGTGAAACTTAAAAGGGAAAATGATAAAAATGTGAACTTTTGACCAAAATCTGACGTGGATATGAAAACACGCTATTCATTTGTCCAAATTACTCTTCGTTTCTTCGAATACCACCTGCATGTAAGTACTACTTTTATGCATATAAGTATCACTACCATTTTTGTGATCAAAGGTATCACTCTTGTGATAAAAACAACTACTTATAGGTAAGTATCATTTTTGTACAGAAGTACCACATTTGTGCACAAATATATCACTTTTTGTTTAGAGCATTTTGATTACTTGATTTGCAAAAACATAATTCCTGTGTTACTAAAACAAAATTGTAATCCAACTTAAAAGTATGGTGGGCGATGCTAAATGGAAAGTTTAGTGGCGCCACAGACTCACAGAGTTCCTAATTGATGAAAATATGTGGTAAAAAAAAAAACAGTACAATGATGAAAATATGAAATTGTATGTGCACGGGGAGGCTCATCCATTTGCCCAATAAAAGATTTCTCACCTGACATCTCTTTTGCGTAACATTCTGACCAAAAATGAATATGTAAAATGATACACATATAATTATTATTAGTAATAAAATGAAAATTGGACCAAATCAAATCATATAATTCAAATCAAATCATATACTTCAGTTCCGTTCGATTTTGAATTTAAAAATTAAAATTATTGATAACAGTTCAATTTCAATTTAAAGGACTTAGACGAACCAATGGAACTTTTAGTATAAATTAAATATATATTTGCATATCAGTAGGGTTCTAAATCAGTAGCAGTCGCATATCATTTGCAGTTGGAATATTTCAAGGATAATTAGTTATATATAGAGAGAGAGAAAGAGCACCTGAAAGATCCTGTTGACAAAATCGATAAACAGAATGAATCACCAACAGAAATTTGCAGAGAAAAAGCTTCGATCTGTGGTCGCGAAGAACTCTAGGGTTTCAGATTCTGGTCACACAAATACATAACAGAGAGAGGATTGAGATGAAAACCAAGTACGGAAGGATTGATCGATCTGTAGCCTAGCAACAAAGGTGTAAAAGGAAGAAGAATCGCCCATGAAATCGCCTCCAACGAGCTGCGCGAAGAGAGAGAAAATGAGGATGAAGGGCCTGTTTGGAAAGAGGTTAGATATTGGTTTGAGTGTACTGAATTTTTTTTTTTTGGGCCCATATCATGGTTGGGTTGGAGTGGGCTGATATGAAATTGAATAGTGTAGGGACAGATATTAAATTTGGGTTAAAATTTGTATCACCAATTTATTGATACTGGGTGACATAACATGCAAAAATGATATCAGCTCAAAACAAAACATATGAACTCTCGTCTTTCACCGTAACGGATAAGTTAAGTAGTTAATTATCAAATTCTTTCGAATTTCTTTCCCCCAATTTCTTTACTTTATAATATATATTTTTTTGAAATCTCTTCAACTCCGCTGTCCTACACAAGCCAATTTCATTTTGAAATCGATCTGATTCATATAAAGTCTTAAAATTCCTAGCACAATCAAATCAATATTAAAGCTTTTAAAATCACGAGGAGTTAAGTATAAGTACAATCTTTTGAATTTATCAAAATTCCAAGCCGAACTTGGGAGGAGTAAAATGGAAGAAAATATAAAAATCCGAAGCTATTTAACTATTATAAAAATTTAAAGGTCTTTTATTGTAATTACAATAATATTCTCGCGAACAAAATAAAACCTCCCCCCGATTCTCACGCAATCAGATGAAATTGTACCCTTTCGACATCATCAAACAAGTCAATTCCTTCGTCTCCCTGCAATTCATTCACTAGAATTCCTTAAACAAACAACATGCAAGGAGACGACGAACTCAGCATAGAAGAACTCGCTTCGAATCTCTCTACTTACAAAGAGCAGCTTCAACAGGCAACTACTCAATCCCTCCTCTCTCTCTCTCTCTATATATATATATATATCTGTATATGCATTGATGTTTATCATTTTTTTTTCCCTACATTTTCGAGATGCTTTCAAATTATTCATTCATTTCTGCTGAATTAGGGTGTTTTTAAATTGCCATTTTAAAAAATTGAAGTTTATACATTTTCATTCTATGTATTTAGAGCAATTCTGATGTGACAGTTTGATGGTTTAAACTGCTTGAATTCACAATTTCTTTTATTATCAAATTGTAGACCTCATTAAAGTCCTTAATTTGACATCCTTGAATTCCTCTACGGGTTGTTTGGATTATTGAAGCAATTTTATTTATGATGCTACAGTGTTGATATTGAGCTGAGACTGCTTAGTGGACTCTTTTTAATCTCTTTGGATTTTTTTTTTTTTTTTTATTCCATTCTGGTAATTGAATGGATGGTTATCGCATAGTCTTTGTTGAATTAGCTAGGGCTTTTGGAAGCGAAAGATTAGGGTTTGATAACATGCAGTATGGTATCTCTAAACAGAATTCCTTTAAGGGTTGTTTGGATCATTGACTCAATTTTATTTATGATGCTTCAATGTTGATATTTAGCTTAGTTAGGGCTCTTTTTCATCTCTTTGAATTTTTTTTTTATTTCATTGTGGTAATTGAATTGATGTTTGGCACTTATACCTTTGTTGAATTAGCTATGGATTTTTGAAGTGAACGATTAGGGTTTGATAACATGCAGTACGATATCTTTAAACAATGAAAATACTATCGTCGCATATTTTACTTGCCTTTTAGTCTGTGATGAATTTGTTTGCATTAAGCTATTTGATGTTCTTACTTTTTCGTATTCTATTTTGTTTAATCGTGTGCCTATTATTTACTGTTTTTAATTCATCATCTGACTTGGATTTGATTTTCATGGTGTTTAGATAGTTAGATCTAGTTAGACGACACATAAATTATTAAATTACAAAGAAGAAAGTGATAGTATTAAGACTTTTCTTGGAGTGCTAATATCATCTCCTTGAAGAAAGAAGAAAAAATTTCCACCACCTTTATACTGAGAGGTTGTAGCTTATTTTCATAAAGCTAAGATTAGAAGTTGCTGTCAATTATAGACTACAAATTTACCTTGGGCATTATAACAGTGATACTTGGAGATAGTATCCTGGTAAGAGTTAATTATGTTCTTAATAATATGTGATGACCCTGTGGGCGGGTGTGCCGTGGGCGGGTACAAGACACTGGCAGGCTACCACACTGGGCGAGCTACGGGTGCACAATCCCACATCGCCTGGGTAAGGGAAAGGCGAAATGCTTATATATAAGTGTGTCACTCCAATTGGTATGAGGCCTTTTGGGGTAAAACTCAAGAGCAAAACCGTGCGGGTTCAGGCCCAATGCGGACAATATCATACCATGTGGTGGAGTGGGTCGTTACATAATACCAAAAAAGTTATAGAAATAATCTTGTAACTGCCAACATATTACACTATTTAAGTTGTCCTTGAGAAGATGATAGGTCAACTCATAGATGCGATCTTTAGATATAGTCAGGGGAACTAGGAACTTCACTTGGAGCCTGGAGGGACCGAATTAGTGTAATGATAATGGATTTTTTTTTTTTTTAATTATATAATAAGTAACAGAATATGTATTTAATATAATTTTATTATTTAGTATTATAAAAGAATATTTAAAATAATATTACTTATAAAATTAAATGTATTTCTGCTATGAATCTTAAAAAGAAATGAAAAAAATTATTAAGAGGACAAAGCAAAGTGTAAAAGAATTGAAATGTAAATTAAAAAAAAAAAAAAAAAAAAAAATTATTTACATAGATTAAGATGCTAAATCATGCAAGTTGATATTTTACATACATCCAATACATAATTGGATGCATGAAGATTGGAATTTTTCTTGTGTAACATTATGATAAAACCTTATACTATATGTATATACCAAATCCATATGTATACTGTACACGTACATACTGTACACATATGGATATGTTCCTATCATTATAATTTGTGTATCAGTAACATTGTGATGAATTTATATGTATACATGTGATAACATTGTATGTGATAACAACAATTGTAGGTAAATGTATGTACTGATAGAGAAACAAATACAGATTTGTACATAAACATATTGATTTAGGTTGGTTAGATGAATGCAGTATATTTATATGCTTAGAACACTGGTAGAGGAAGAAGCCCAAGTTCTGGACCATGATCGAACACGAATATTAGGCCAAAAGTTTGAGCAAACCATTGCAAGGTTTACCGTAGCTCATAACCCATTTGGATTTTTGTGGGAAGAAGAATTAATGTGTAGGATTTTGCTTAGTTCATTATTGATTTGGATGTCAAATGTCAATCAATGGTAAAAAAATAACAAAATTAGTTCATCATCATGACCATAATAGTGACTTTGGACCAAGAATTTAAGATATTTTTGTTGTGACACAAGTTTAGATATGTTGTTCACTTATATTCATGCTATATGTATTCATTGTTAAGCATATACTTTTGAGTATATATATGTATATATATTACTTATCAAAAAAAGAGTATATATATGTATATTTATTAAAATGTCTATGTAGGGTAGATTGTACTACAAACTTGTGTTGCTGTTAATTTTGCATGCTTTATGTTGTGGTGGTTGTTATATTTTATTTTAGTTGTAATTGTGACTTCGGCCCATGAATCAGGTCAGAAATCTTTTGGACGACGACCCTGGAAACTCTGAATATGCTGACATGGAAAGGGAGCTTGTAGAGGTGTGATCCTTACTCAACTTATCCTCGTCAATTTGTTTTATTTTTTATTTTATTTTCTTAGTTATAAAACTTCCTTGGGTATTTTGTTCTGTTCCTTTAACTTGAAATGCATGGGGTTGAGCTTGTTTTTGGATATTTGTTTTGAGAGAGCAGTGTTCATATTCTTTGGGCATAAAGGGATAATATTTGACTGTAGGTGATTGTTTGTTGTATATGTTTTTTCTGTTATTATTATTATTTTATTTCAAATATTTCCCTCTTTCTCAAATAATCATCTTGTTCAAACCAGCAACATCAATTAATTGCGAATTACTGGAGAAGATTGTGTTTTATTCTTGGGTTTAGAAGGTGAGGACGCTATTCATGTTTAAAAAGAAATCCTTACACCTGGAAATGAGAACTCTATGGAGCTAGAAACTTTATAAAGGTGTCCATCACTTGTATCTTGGTTCCTGTGCAGGTGTGCTATGTGTTGTGATGGCCAGCCTGCCTTCTCCTGATTTCGGATGTTCAGACTGCGTTTCTAAGTTTGAATTCAACTATAATTTGGCCTTTTTGATGTTATAAATATTTTATTAATTTGGACTTGGCTATATCTTTTGGGTCCAGGTGATTGCTTTGACAGAAGAACTCCTGAAAACTGCAAAGCAAAGTGAGAATTCTGGTTTGAATATTGGGACAAGTGCTGATGTCTCTCCTGGTTCGCACTATTCTGGGGATACCTCTCAGCATAATTTGGTAAGTATATCTTATATTGCCGCTTACCAGAATTGAAAAAAAATAAAAAAATCTTGCACTCGCTTCAAATTTGTTATTTTTGTTTGTTTGTGTTGGGTGGGAAATATGCTTTATCATTATGTCTCCATGAAGGTAATATGTTGCTTCTGAATGGAAAAAACATAAATTTGACAGCTTTCATGCAATAGAATAGACAAGGCACAATATTAATTTGGATTGTGTGGAGTTTTAATAGATCTAGTTAGAAAATGTTTTACAAAGCTAGTATACAAAAGAATACAGAAGGTTAGGTCTGTCCCAAGTGCTCTCTCCCAAAGGACCCTGTTGTAGTGGGACCAGAACTAGTATGTCCCTTTTAAGTATACAGAGAATAAAATGAGCAAATTTTGTTTATATATGTGAGAGTTCCTAGAGGTTTTAGTCAGGTGAAACACTTTTCTTTGTCATCAAGATTTGCTAGACTTTCACAAACATTATGCAGGCATGGAAACAATAGTTTATTCTCATTAGCATGCGGCAGGGGTTCTGAACTTACAAGAAGTTGACTTTTGAGTTTGAGAAACAAAACTTTTGTTCATTTTTATTAAATACAGAACTATGACGATAGAATAGAAATTCAAGAGGAGAAGGATGAGGATCCCCAAAGAGAAAAAGTAAAAAAACGGCATTGAATACAAAAGAAGAAGATATTTTCTTCCAAGACAATCATCAATATATGCAAAAAACAATTTCTCATGTTTGGGAAAATAATTTTGTTTCGTTGTAATAGTATTTCATTGTGTACCATGTTGCACCAAAAAGAAAAGAAAATCTATATCTTGTTACATTGGTTATTTTACGTTTGGATAATGAAGCTGCTTGATGGCCATTCCAGGTTTCTTCTCATTTATTATATTGTTAATGTTATTAGCTTTTGCATTGTAGCTGGTGAAAATTAGTTGTTTCACTTCTTCTTAATCTGTTTATCTAGCATATAATATAGTTTCTTTAAAAGCTAATTTTTCCCCTTCAAATAATTCAACTCTAAGCGGGTGATTAAACTGATTTTTCATGCACGTGTCCCAATATCAGCTATATATCTGTCTTGCATAGGTGCTCATATGACGTTATTTCCCCCTCTATTTTGCAATCAGGAATTAAGAAGCATCCATGATCATTCTGACAAGTTCCCTATTGGCACCAAAGTTCAGGCTGTTTGGAGTGATGATGGGGAGTGGTATGTTAAATTTAACTAGGGAGATTCAATTTTTAGTCAATTTACGTTTTCCATTTCTTCTTAATTTCATTTATTTTACCATTTTCCTTTTTGTTGTCTGTGTTTGATTAGTTGAATGTTCAGGTATGATGCAACGATTGAGGCACATACTCCAAATGGGTATTATGTTACTTATGATGGATGGGGTAACAAGGAAGAGGTAAGATGTTCACCACTACAGAAGTCTTGCTTTGCTCAACGTTTTATATGTTTGGAAACACATAAATTGTAGAATATATGACTTTCTCATCTGTTGGTTGGTTTCACAAATCTACAGAATTGAATTTATGACGTAGTTTTTAAGTTATTAATGGTAATTAGAGGAAGCAATAAGTTGTTAAAGCTGGTTTAATGACCCCTCCCCGACCAAAAAATAGAAAGAGAGTAATGCTCAACCAATGTGCATGATTTAAATTTTTTAATAAAGTTTTTTATTTGGATATAATCTAGTGGTTATGATAGAAATCTATCTATGCTATTGAGCACCAGAAGAAAAAAAATATGGTGGGCTATCTTCCCCCATGAAGCTCATACTCCGTTTGCTTCATGACCCACCATCTTTGTCATGTGCATCTCCCAGTACACAACCACCCCCCCCCCCCCCCCCCCCCCCCTCTTCTATCATCCAAATCCCTTTTCCCCCTATGATCGTCATTATTTTACTTTGGTGATTTGGTTGTCCAACATAACTCCCAAACCTTTGTCTGGATGGTGGCTTCTGGGGAAGTGAAGGCTGAATACTTCCATAAAAGGAGAATACTCACTAAAGCCAAAATGGGGGTAAAATGGCGCTGTAGGTAAAAGGTGCACATAACAGTGTGTTAAATAAAATAAAGAAGAAGATGAATTTGAGTTCCATGTTTACAAAGAATCCAATGATAATTGTTATGTTAGTCACCATAGGACTTGCTTACGTAGAATCACACGACCAATCGGGAATGGGAACTCTTGAAATCAGAAACTTTTGGCAGACAACAATTTTAATTTTAAAAAGAAGAAGAAGAGATGTACCTAAAGAAGAAAAAATAATTAGATAAAACAGCTATTATAATCATGTTTAAAAATATAGCGCAACGCTTGGTAACTTTGACCCAGAGAACCAATCTTGTAAGTTTATTTAGGAAGGACAAAAAAAAAAAAAAAACTTGTAAAATTATTAAATAATCCTATGGCTGTAAGTATTAAGTATTAACATAATGCCTTTGTTACACAGACATATGATTTCTCAAATCAAAAAGGGTTAGAACCATGCTTGTTCGGACGAACCCCACTGAAAATAGTCGTCATTGAAATTTATGTTTCGAGGTTATGTTGATTTTCTTCCTTGCACAGCTGCACTAGGTTCTCTGTGGGAGATATTCCTTTTTCTCAGCCCTACTCAATACTTTTGGGGCTTTCTACAAGTTGTAATTCCTTTATAATCGTCCTTGATTCTCTTCTCGTAATGATCAATTTTGGAATTCCAATTGTTTTAATATAAAATATGTTGGAGTGTCAGAGCTTGATTCTTTTACTGAGCCCATGAAGGAAGGTTATCTATCCTCTTCTAGCATGACTGTCTGGTTTGGAGCTTCAAGCTTTCAGCCATGTTTTCTTCTTGCTGGCCACAATCTGAAACCTTTCCAAGCTGGTAATATGACATAGTTCTCAAAGGTGCCTCCTAAGTTAAACCTTTTGCTTGGTCAGTCGCTGTAAGTAGGATGGAGCACTGGTGAGTTTATTTAAATGCAAAACCCTTAGAAGGATAGATCCCTTTGGAAGTGTTTGGAACCCTTCATTTGCTTGCCTCTGCAAGTACTGCAATTGGTGCCTGAGGCATGCGCATCACGTGTAGGAGGGCTGGGGATACCGTTGATCATATGTCCGTCCATTGTCCATTTGCCTATAATTTGTGGGAAAATTTTTTGTTTCTTTAGTTGGGTGAGATGTGTTGCCCGTCTCTTTGTTTGTTTTATCATGTCTTTTCAAGACTTGGAAAGCATTGGAGACAAGATTAGTTAGAGGGCCGCAATCTTGCCAATATTTTGGTTCTTTTGACTCGAGACACACTGCAGTTTCTTGGACTCTTATAATCCAAGTAAATTTTATTTATTTTTTAAATTAAATAGATAAGGTAAAAAATATATATTTAAATACTTAGAAGAAGAAAAAATCAATGTAACAGTTCCCCATGACCCTCCCATACTAGGGCTTTCAGAAGTTGTTCTCATGGACTTCATATTAGACGGTGGAAAGCCGTACATGGTTGTAGGCTACAGCTACATGTCCCAGTTGTATCTTAGAAGTATGTTGACATATCCCAACTGTATCCGATTTAAAAATATATATATTTTAAAATTTTGGATAATTTTGAATTGTATCGGACACATATCTAGCGGATACGTTTTGGCATGTGTCTGATACTGCCACGACGATGCTTTCTAGATCAAATCATCTTTGCTCAGTAGTTCCTTTAACATGCTTTTGACTTGGTTTTGCAAATGCTTAACTAACCACTAGGTACTGATAGTGCATTAGGATTCCGGCCCAATCCACACTCTTGGTGGTTTCTATAAAGAGGGAAGTCCTCTTAAAGGAGAAAGAAAATGTAAGGCATTTAACCATCACTTCAGTGATGTTGATTTACACGGGAATTGTGAAGTAACTTTCATTCCCACAATCCATCACCCTTGCGAAATCATTACCTGTGGTTTCATATCCGTAACATCATGCCTGCTTCATTATGCTAGTGGAAAAGGGGATATCTTGAGAATATTGCTCAAGGATCTGCACACTCAAGTTCCTCGAGGAGGAGGAAAAGAGGTAGGAAGAACGAGGCAAAAGACTATTAATTCGACCCAGGGTTGTGTTACGTCACTACCATTTGATTCTTAGTTAGCAGAAGTGCAATTATGGTGGGAGGCACATTCATTATTAACCTTCACGAGACAATCGTATAGATCGTCTGTTAAGGTTGATATGGAAAAGCAAGTCTTCCTCGTGACTCATTTTTGCTGACCCTCACAACAAGAACTATGCTAAGGTTTGTTTTAATTCCTCCCTCTGGTTTTGGTGTGACGCGTACTGTGGTAGGTCCTAAAAAGCGACGGAGAACTCGTGTAAGCCAAAGCATGGTGTGGTGCTAGTAGTGCTGTGTTGTGATCCCAACCAGGACAAGGGGTATATATCTTGACCTGGAGGCTCGAAAAAAGAGCCCGACAGAGTGGGGTGAAAGGGAGCATACTTACGACCCTAATTCGAAGGGATTGGGATATACACACTTTGACCCAAAAACTGGAGCAAGTAAATGACACGTTGCACAATCATGCCACGTAAAATATTCCTTACACCTGACATGTGTTTGGATTACTAGAAATAGCACAGTTCCTTGAAGCAGGAGGATATTCAGAGCTTCCCTCCCTGGCATTTTCTTTGCCTTCATTCTCTCCTCCATCCTGCTTCATTCCTCCTTCCTACTCGTGATGGAGCCCCATTTCTTACCCTATTCCTCTACAAGTTCCTAAATTAATGCATGAGATTGTGCATTTTTTCAAAGGACTTTTTATGTTCCTTTTTTGTTAAACCCCCCCCCCCCCCCTTTTCACTTTTCCCTTCTCTTGCTCACTCTTTTTGTTGTGGTTATTTATTCTTAGGTCTATCTATCTATGTTGTTTGTGTGTGTGTTTATATGTATATATATGAATGTGCATCTTATATTACTGACAGCTGCTGCTGATTCCAGGTGGATCCTGCTAATGTTAGGCCAATTCAAGAAGGGGCTGTCAATGCTTTGCTGGAAGCTGAGAAGGAAGCTGAGGCCACTAGACAAGCTATTAAGCGGAAGATTGCACAAGCTGCTGTTGTGGACTTCCAGTCAAAAAGTTTACCAGCAAAGCTTCGTATAGATCCTAATGATCCCGAGGATGTGGTAAGTTTGTTGATGTACAATTATTGATTACTGACACAGGAATAGTTTATATATATATTAAACTTCATGGATTTGTTCTTGTTATTTTTCCCCATTCTGAAAATTATTGTTTTTTCTTTTCTTCGCAATCGATAAACTTGAATAATCTTTCATCCACTTGTTTAAGATTTTTTGGTTGGCCAAGTACACAATTTCGAGTCAAACTCCAGAAAATGTGTTTTTAATTAACAACCTAGGGTGCTTTGGTTTAAGATTTTGGGGCCCCCTTTAAGTTTTGATTTTGTTAGCTGCCTGGTTTGCTGTTCCAAGAATAGCATTCCATAACTTGGCAAAAACAATAAAAAGAACCTTCTCTGTTTCCCCAATATAAAGATCTTTCTCCATTCTTTTAATCTATATTTTTCTTCAGTTAGGAGTCATTGCTTGTGCAATGGTATGAGTTATCACTAATTAGTGTGGGGTTGCAGTATGAGTATGAGAGTAGCCACTTTATCTGGATAGTGCCAATTGTTAGGCCTATCTCCATACTTGCCCTCCCAAGTCCCAGACCCACATAGTCGGGATATGCACCGTCTTCGATTGATTTCTTCTAATTAATTATTCTTACAATTTTTTTCTAGATGTACTCGCATTTTTAATGAGCGGACTTGATTTTCTCTTGTTCTTGCACTGATTGATTTAGTTTATGTTTCTTTAGTTCCTAGTTTTCCTTTTTTATTTTATTTTTGGTAAGTTAGATTTGCTTTTGTTTTTGCTTTCTAAAATCTAAAATTTACAGAAAGTGACTAAGCGTAAGAAGATTCATGCTTTTAAGTCAAAGATACGGATGGAGCAACTTGAGGTCACACAGAATAAGAGGCAAAATGCTTGGCAGCAATTCCAGACAACCAAAGGCCGTGCTAAGAAGGTATGCTTGGCAACCATTTTTGAACTTGCAAGTTGCATTATCTGATCTTGCATTTAACCTTGACAAACAATGGGGAAGGTTGATATTAATTGTTTGTAATCAATCTTGCATGCCACAGTACTAGAAGTTCTAGGTTCAATGCCTCTGCAGAGTTCGCTCTCTGTTCTCCCTTTGGGACCCATAAATGGCGAAATTTCTTTACTTCTGATCCTGCAAGAGTTAACATGGATTTTGTTCAATTGTTATTGTTTAATGTAGATATACCCCAGATATAAAGGACACAAAGAAGTCTGATACAACTACAACTACCAACTTTTTTTCCCAACTAACAAAATAAATAAAATTTTAAGTGCTACTAATTGGGGAAAAAAAATGTTGGTCTTTGAACACTTCATGTTTAGTGTTTTCTGGTTAGAACTAAATTCTGTAACAATTTCATCTAAACACTTGGCATAACCCCCTACTCTAGCTTCATTGGTTTAATATATTTTATAGCATACATAATAGGAGCTCAATCTATCCAGTTATTCATTCATTTTATGGATCATTTATGCACAAGCATCAGCTTAATTAGTTTGGTATGTTGTAATGTGTCTCTTAGAAATTTTATGCAAGTGCACATCTTTGACTTTCAGGGGGGAATATAATGCGTGTAGCGGTGTTGAAATCCGATTTGTGCACCTTAGTTCAATAATTCGATCAATAATAAGTAATAACCATATGTACCTGTACCATATGGGTGGTACCATACGCCTTTTTTTTGGGTAGCGCCTTTTATGTCGTTTTAATTCTATTGCCCTGTGCGACACATGCGAAGCTTTGCATGCTGTTTTAGCTTTCTTGATATCCTTTCCCTATCTCATGAATTTATAAACAAATTTTGATAATCGATATGGGATTTAAGCACATAAATTGCTGATCAAATTGACTCGTGTAATTTCTTTTTCACATTCTAGATCGGTTTCTTCTCGGGGCGCAAGCGAGAGAGCATCTTTAAGTCTCCAGATGATCCACAAGGTAAGGTTGGCGTGACCGGAAGTGGGAAAGGTTTGACGGAGTTTCAGAGGAGGGAAAAGCACTTGCATCTCAAGGGAGCAAATGCCGAGGACTAGATAATTGAGTTGCTGTTCATCTTTCTCTGCTGTTCATCTGCTTTGTCAATCTTACTCGCCGCCACAGTTTGGCATAGAGAGTATTAGTGATGCAAAGTTAATGTAGCCCACACCACAAGTTAAAAAATCTTTTCTACTAAAATGATGTCTTAGTTTTTGCTTTCTCTTGCCTCTGCGTGGAAGGAGACAAATGGACATTAAACATGTAATATTTTTGTGAATATAATTCGATGACTAAACCTAGAAAATAAGAAAATTGAAAATGCTTACCAGCCTACATTATGGCATTAGTATTTCTATGCTAGGAACTTCTACCCCCAGAAGATGTGGGACCCAGCTTCCTTGCTCACGGGATTCCATCAAATTGTGTTACCTTATTATGTATAGATATTTTATGTCTTACGTATTCTGGTTTTAATTTTTATTTTAAATGGTCTACATTGTTTAATGTATAGATATTATTTGTCTTGCACATTATTTAGGAACCGTTCTCGTGATGATGTGGCATAAACATTCGACAGAATCCAATTCCGAGTCTTGTTCTCCATTAATTAGGGCATCAAATAACATGGAAAAGATTGTGACGAAGTGACCAAAGCGTATTAGCTGTGAAGGACTGATCACCAACTTTGTGACTCGTGAATTTTCTAGCGAAAGGAACGAAGAAAGCAGGACAAGGCTCCAATCAAGTCGAACATTTGATTGTTAATCTTTTAATTTGAGCATGAATATCATTTAAACTCTAGCTTCAGTGAAGTCAGATTGACTCAAACATACTTGAGCAAGCTCGTTTGGCTAATATAGAGTTTTAGTCATGACAACAATATTTATAAAGAGAATATCTTTAAATAATACCTGATAAAACAAGCGGTTTTGTGTTCATGACCGCATTCTAAAACACGACTTGTGAGATTCAACAATTCTGTTCCATTAACATATAATAAATATACATTCGTGAACTTCTTTTGTTATGTGTTTTGTTTGTGAGTGGTGTACTATAGCAAAGTTTAAGAATCCAAGAAAAAGAGCAAGATGCAAACTCATCAATAAGATCGTAAGAAAGAAAAAGTAAATGTAAAGGCTTTGTAAGGCCATCAATGACCACTAATCTGTGAAATTAAATCGCGATTGGTTGTAGCACCTCATGGAAGCTCAAAAACTCAACCTTCACTTTGAAAAAGAGGGAATATTACCAATTAATTAAAAGGTCAATTCTTTATTAAACAATATTAAAATAATTGCATCATTATGTATAGAATTGAATATGTTACAATATAAACAAAGCACTTAAATATATTTTACGAATAAAAATAGGTGAGTGTTGTATAAGTTAAAATAGATAAGTGCTTAATAAACCGTCTATATAATAAGGTAAACGAGTAGGTGAAAACGATAATCCTAAAACCCTAAATTGTAGCCTAACAAACAATTTTAAAATTAAATCAAACCTGAATGATTCACTTAACAAAAAGGCAGCTTTAATGCATTAATAGAGAATAACTACAAAGATAGACGGTAGTGTGACACCAATGTATGGTGGGGCATAAATTATGCCCCAACCTCCACATATATTAACAGTGACGTAAAATATTACTGTATGTTATAAGACAAAATGTATATTGCATCGTTTTTACGCAAATCCAACGGCTGTGCGTTGTCCCCGTATAATCTGCGCCTTGCAAAAATTCCCAAATTATACGCTCCGCATTTCTCAACCGTCGACTCTCCGCCGCCGGCATTCCGTACACACACTGTCTCTCTCTCTCTCCTCTTTCTCTCTCTACCTCACGATTGATTATCTGCTTGTTTTCTGGTTTTTTTTTCTCCAGATTCAGTCCAAAAAAACCAAGAGCTGTTTGGGGGGCATAAAACTACTGCTCTCCTCCGATTCTTTAGTTCTTTGAGGTGAGAATTGATTAGTTTTTTTTTGTTGCTTTTTGCTATTAAATGATGCTGCTTTCGTAAACGCATTCTAAATTCAATTCGATATTTCTGCTCTTCCTTGAATTAATTTTCAGTTTCATGTTACAAGTGCAATCATAATAGAAGCTATTCTCTTGCTAATTAGGGTTTGAAAAGCAATATATATATATATATATATATATATATATATATATGAAACTATCCAGTATTATTTATTTCTAGCTTACATATTAAACTATCACATGAAAAAAGATGAAGTTATAGCATGGACATGGACTTTTGACTGAATTAGACATAATAAAATTTTCATTTTATTTTTCTCCTAGGTAAGACTAGAAAAGATAAAATTAAAAATGTTCACATTCGGGAGATGGTTGGAGTAACACAAATTTGAGATAAAATCAAAGAAAATTGGTTAAGATAGTTTGGACATGTTCGACAAAGACCTCTAAGTGCGCTAGTTAGAAAAATTGACATAGTACACATTGAGGCTAATACTAGAGGAAGAGGAAGACCAAAGCTAACATGGGTAGAGTTAGTAAGGGAGAATATGATAGCACATGGATTGATTGAGGCTATGGCATTAAATGGAGAGAAATGGAAACATTGATTTATGTAGCCGACCCCAAGTAGTTTGGGAAAAAGGCTTGGTTGTTATTGTTGTATATTTTCCTCCCAGCATGGGTATTACCAGCATTGGGTAATGACTTTTATTTGGTTTTTTCTCAATTATTGTATTGCAAGAGCGTCAAGTTTACGTCCTTTCTAACCATAATGGTATTATGAAATGTTGCATTTTAGATATGTGACCCTATGTATATGAGAAGTATCGGATATGTGCCCCTATGTATATGAGAAGTATCGGATATGTGTTTGAAATAAAAAAATAAAGAAAAAGGTATTTTCAATGATGAATACGTTTAGGAGGCATTGGACACATAACCGCGAGTATTCAAGGAGTATCAATAGGATTCCCTTATAGAAGTATCCGTGCTTTGGGATAGTAGTAATTAGCAAACATCACAGACAGACAGACACACACACGCGGACAGTTTAATATACTTTTAATTGGTAAGGTCTTATATTATCGTTCTTGTCCCATAAAAGGCACAACAATAATAACAAAGATACTAAGTGTGATGGCAAACTTGTTGGCAATGATTTAATCATAAATATTTATAAGTGATCTTTAGCAATTCATGGGTCCATGTTTTAGGGTTTGTGACTTGCTTTTGAATGTTTCATGACTTTTTTGGTTGAATAAGATCAGTGCTGTTTGGCCCTTTTGAGTTTTGAAAGTTGTTTTCTTTTATTTTGTGTACTACTAGGTAGCTGTTTTTATCTCTTCTTTGTATCTCCATGAAGGACACCTTGTTCTTCCTGTATTATTTTTCTATTGAAACAAGTATTTACATATGAGATAACCTTTTCTGCTCAGAATATTGAGACTATGAAATGTAGTGGTTGTTTTCTTTCTTTTTGAGGTTGAGGTTTTACAGTCTATTTTCCTAAAGGATTGAGATACAAGGTGCTTTTTATATTATTAGGCCTCATTTGAGGTGGTTATTGTATGTCTTCTGTGTGTGACTAAAGTTTAATAATTAGTTGAATCGTGAATGAAATCTAAATCTAATTTATTTTGTCGTCTTTTCCCAGAAAAGAGGTTCCGTCATCGAAAATTTTAATTCACCCTAGAATTTCTTGCCATCATCTGCATATTGGTGGATCTTTAGTTATGGGTGCTGTAGAGAATGCCATAGACAATAAAGTAGGTCGTTTACCAGAAGAAGCAAAGAGGATTCTACAATCATTGGCTTCCAGCTGGGGGGATGTAGTTGAGTCAGATGCATTGCAAGTGATTCAACTGAAGGGTGCTATGACAAATGAGGTCTACCAAATCAAGTGGCCGACAAATGAAGAACAGTCACGAAAGGTATTGGTTAGAATTTATGGTGAGGGTGTGGGGATTTTCTTTGACCGGAACATTGAAATCCAGACATTTGAGTTCATGTCCAAGCATGGGCAAGGACCTCGTCTTCTTGGAAGGTTTCAGAATGGGCGACTCGAGGAGTTCATTCATGCACGGGTACTTTTACGCAATTTACTATGTTAAGTTATTTTATTGAATTTTCTTTTTATCTAGAGACTGAGAATCCTTATCTAGAGACTGAGAATCCCTGAAGTTGCTTTGGAGATTGGGAATCATTTAATGTTTTAGGTTTTTCGTAAAAAGATGCCGTTGTTTTCAAGTAGCTAGTATTAGTGCTAATTCCTTATGCTTCTGGATCTAAAGTCAGGATATTCTAGGGGGTTGGATATGTGACTGAATTTTGTCATATAAATGAGAACCAAATTTGTGAATGCTTTTGAACGACCTTAAATAAAAATAAAACAACTAAATCTCCTGGAATTTCTTTTAATACATTGTAAGGATACTTCTTTATTAAACTAAAGTCCAGCCTGGGGCACTTGTGTTTGTGCGTGTTGTACTTTTTCTGTAGTCCAGCCTGGGGCACTTGTGTGTTTGTGCGTGTTGTACTTTTTCTAGTAGGTACATGTGTTATACTCCTCAAAATTGGTGCCCCACTTCAAAGATTTTGGCATGTCAGAATACGGTGGTATAAGCTTGTAGGACACAATTTTGGGCATCGACAGTTATGCAGTATTCTTTTTCTTTGTTTTGTTTTGAGTTTGGTGTCTGAACTTATTATATATGTATCAGACACCACTATCCTTGTTTTCTCCATGCCATGTTCAAACAGTTGGAAAATGTTTTTTTTTCTCATAACGTAATTGGAGCTTACAGATTAGCATCCTAGTGCTGCTCTACATGGAAATAGAATAATATGACATTCTCCTTTGAAATCTGTAGTTATTAAACTCTAGGCATCTCTATGTTATTTGGTTTATGATACCTTCTCTTAAGTTGTTGAATTTCATTGTATCATCAAATTATCGGGTTCATTCTAATTGATCTACTGATTTTCTGAAATTAATTTGTTTTCTTTATTAGAGGCACACTCACACACACACACAACCACACAGAGTAGTTTTGCCTGTCCTAAAGCACAAGTTTTACTCAAACAGTGCTTCAAATGTTCATGATATCCTGAATAGAATTCACATGGCAGGAAATGCAAGTAAATATTGCATTTTGATGGGCCTCATATGCTAGTATCTTGCACCAATAGGTTGACTAATTTTGACAGTTTAATTATATCAGGATATGAGCCCATGATACACATGTAAGTCAAATTTGTGAAGGAGATTTGGGACGCAAGAAATTTCTATATTTTGAGTACTTATCACATATGCTACAGCTCAAATTTCACTATTTTTTTTTAAGAAAACATAACTTCTTTATATATTTCCTTGTTGCTTGGGTTTGTAGATGATGATTATGGTGGTTCAATTATGCTTGGTGTTGTTTCAAGTATGAATTAACTAGGGATATCACCTAATAATTGGAACTGTGCCAGTTTAAGGAGGAGTTGTTCATCACTTCATCTCCCTTTGAATATTAAACTACTCAATTGTATCCTTCCTCAAACAACTAAAATTTCTTCTTTGTCTTATGGGAATTACAGACCTTATCAGCACCTGATCTGTGTGATCCAGATACATCTGGTCTTATAGCAATTAAAATGAAGGAGTTTCATGATATAGATATGCCTGGTCCAAAGAATGCCTTCCTCTGGGTTAGACTGCGGTATGATCTTACTCTCTTTTATTTCCTTCCCTCTCTTTTGATGAATGGGGTTCGAGTCATATGAACCTCAAGCAAGATCATGGTTCAGTTATAACTTATAACACAAAAACATTTTATACTACAGCTGTACATATTTTAAAATATATTTTTTACATATGCTTCAGCAATTGGCTTAATGCGGCCAAAAGTATGTCTACCCCGGAAGAAGCTGAGGCCTTTCACTTCGATGCCCTAGAGGAGGAAATATCAATATTGGAAAAAAAATTGTCAACGGATGATCAACGTATTGGATTTTGCCACAACGATTTACAATATGGTAACATAATGTTCGATGAAGAGACCAGATTAATCACTTTAATTGTAAGTATCTCCTTAGAGTGATTAATTTGTATCTTGATTTCTTTCTGAAATTTTAGAGACAAAACTTTACGTGGTCAGTCTCCTACCGAACATTTCTTGTTATGATATTTATTGTGATTGGATCTTCGTGGGTAAAGGCAACATCTAGGCAATAGGTGTAGTTCACTTATTATTTTCTTAACACTTCTATGGTATATGTGATCAACAATACGTTGTAGAACTAAGGGATTAGATGGAATTTGTATATATACATATTAAATTCTGAATTGCCTATTAATATTCTTCGTTCTATTGATGTAACCGATCTGTTTTGACTTGCTTAGATTCATTTGAATTGTGCTCACGAGTATTTGAGAGAGAGAGAGAGAGAGAGATGATATCAATTCATGGGACCCTTCTTCCAAATCTTTGAATATTCTATAACTATCGGCTTTTGCAAGATCCCAAGAGCAACCATTTTGTGCAATCCAAGGTTATGTTTGTATCTAATTTACTGTTTTCCCCTCCCAGTACCATTGACTTTTAGGGAACACACTGGGTCCCTCACATCATACGAGAGAGAGATAATTGCATAATTGCACAAAGTGGTTGCTCTTAGGGGCTTGTAAAAATCTGTGTGTTCTTTTTTCATGCTTTTGTTGCCTTTAGGCCTTCATTTGGTGTCGATTCAATGTGTTCGTCTTGGGGCTGGTTTTTGTTCAGTTTCTTGTGTCCTTGTTTTTTAAAATTTTACTGTGCATATTTTATTGTCTGGAATTGGTTAACTGGTGGATGAAATTATATACTAGCACCTGGACCAGTCTGAACCTATATTAAAATGGTCCTTACTTTGAATTGGGCAAAAAGGATCTAAATAGACACCTTGCAACCCTTAGTCAAACTTCGACTTGTTGACACAATAACATAATTTTCCCATCCTGTTCATCTTCTTACTCTGGTAAAAGACCTATCTTGAGCTATATCAGCAGCTTGTGAGATCTTTCTTTTATTTAGAGAACTCTTGGGATAACTGAATAATAGAAAGTGAATTTGGAACCATACAAGAAGAATCAATTTTATAAAAATCTGAACATAGAAACTTGATACCATCTGGAACAACTGTGGAAGCAAGATTAATCAGACATAAGAAAGATTAGCAATGTGATGACACCATTCATGTGAAAATGATAAGAGCTTAAGCTTTTCATAGATCAATATTGGTTGTTATTCATTTAATGTTTAGTTTAAACATGCTTCTAGAACCTTTTTTTGTCCTGCTCAAAGGAAGGAAGGTGGAAGACATTTCGATTTTATGATTATTATTATTATTTTTTTGAATGATGGATTCAAATACTTCTGTTACTATGCCTTATAATATTTATCTGTTTAGCCAATATAGGTGGTATGTTACTCGTATAACGAATATATCTAGAGTGGTTATATTCTTATATGTACATTCAGTCTAGTTCACATGGCATGTAGGTAAGTTATGACTCTACCTAGTTGAATGTCTCATGGGGCAGTGATGGGATGACCTGTCTCATGGATTTTCCATTAACTGAGGTCAAGTGAAGATATATGTCTCAGGTACACTTGATACCAAGCTGCAGTCTTTATCTTCTCTTAAAAACTTTGCCTTTATTTTGTTTTTTGGATGGCTTGTCTCTCTATTACCTGGGTCATTACTTGCAGAATCTGTTGGAAAGTTCATGAATATTTCTGTCATAGAGCACTGTCCTTGCTTAGAATTTAAGATTTCACTCAGACTATCCCACCATGGCTATAGAGGCAATAGTTCACTATTTTATTTAGAGTTCCAATGTGCAGTTTGATTCATCTGAATGAGAAGTTGGATATTTTCTGGTCTCTCTTATTGGAGGTTATACAGCAGATTGTCCCCTTCCTCTTTTACAAAGGGTCATTATCCAGTGTAGTCACCTTCTATTTTACAATATTAATAAATAAAATTAGGAAAAAGGATGATTTGATTTAGACATGGACCTTGTTGATTGAACCTTTTGGTATATTGTTCTTTGTTGATTCTCTTAACATCTTTGAATCTTTTAAGTTGTAGAGCCCCTGAAATTTACCTCTTTTTTACTAGGATTATGAGTATGCAAGTTACAACCCTGTTGCCTATGATATAGCAAATCACTTTTGTGAGATGGCCGCCGATTATCACACAGAAACACCTCATAATTTGGACTTCAGTAAATACCCTGGTGCGTGACTGTCAAAATTTATTTCCTTCCTATGTTCGATTACTTTGATTGCTTCCACGAATATACCATTGTAAGTGTTTGACTCGTCACTGAATCTAATTGAGTTCTATTGACTAAAATTGCCAACAGGTTTGGAGGAGCGTAAAAGATTTCTGCGTATGTATTTGAGTTCTTCAGGTAGTAACCAATTTTTACGTCATTTATTGTTTTTTATGCAACATCCATGACCCTGAGGCTATGTTCGGCTGCATGGAATTGGAGCCTTGAAATTGGAGAAAATAACTAAACTTTTCTCCAATTCCACCAATTCCAATTCCATGCAGCTGAACATAGCCTGAAGGTCATTCAGGACATATTGTTCCTACCACGTCGAGATTTTAGTTTCTAACTTTCTACTGACCAGAATGTAAATCTTTAATATGCACCTTCAGTGGTAAAATTATTATTAAAAGATTAAAGGTTGTGTAACTTTGTATTGATGTGTCTGAAAGGAGTGGATCTGGATTTAATACCTCAAGTTCAAATCTCTTGCTCAAGGATTTTATGGCTTAGATTTTACTTTAATGAGATCTTTTTATGGCTTATATTTTACTTTAATGAGATCCATGGATGGACTTTCCAGGTGTGTTGATGGATTTGAAATAACAAGGTGAAAGGGAGTTTTTGAATCAAACCCAATAATGATTCTACTTGTACTAGTATCCTACTTGGACATGTATTATCCCCTCCTCCTCCATCATTTCTCGAAGCTCTCATAATCCAACTCTAATTGTCAGTCCTATATAACGGTTAATTTCAATGTCAAGTCCCTTCGGTTCAAATTCATCAATCCAAAAACAACTGAAAAGTATTTTGGAACCTCAGGTGTTCTTTGGCATCTTTTTAGTTCTGGTTGTTTAAAGGGAAAATGATGCACATATGCATGATTTTAAGTGTTGAGACTGCAGTTATTTGATTACTTTTGTCAATAATAAAAGGTGTTGCGTGATATGCAACTTTGCAATAGGGTTTCTGTATTATACACGCCTATACGAAGAATATTTGGAGAAGGATCAACAGAAGGAATTCTTTTCCCGTCTTTTGCTGAAACTAAAATGTAATATATTTATAAATAATCAAAGACATTCAATTCCGGTAGAAATACAAACTTGTTAACAAATGGAAATGGACTATATTTATTTTTTTAAGGGAGAAAAAGTGGATTGTTACCATCATTTCTGAACTTAAAAATCTTCATGCAGGTTATCAACCTAGTGAAATGGAAATGGAAATGGAGCAGCTAGCTCAAGACGTTGAGAAGTATACTCTTGCAAGCCATCTGATTTGGGGCTTATGGGGAATAATATCGGTATCTTATACCTCACCCTAACTCGTGATTAGAATTCTGTTTATATTATATTAATCATCCAGAAAGATTGATAACAATTAGATTGAACTAATTTTTCTAGGAAGTGTCCAATGCATTAAAAAGGAAGGGAATAAGAAGATAAGAAGGATTAATGCTCTCCTAAACATAGGGAAACAGAGGAGATTCTGAAGCAAGAAATTGTGAAAGTTGGAAAGTGAAACTAGACAGAGAGAGAATCAAATCTCTGTAAACCCATCTTTCAAATGACCTTAAAAGACTCTGAAGTAGCTTAAGCTTTTGTATTATACATTTGTAGTTATGCCAAGTGCTCCACTGATAGATAGGCAATACCATGGACTTCATCACAGTTTTACCCAAGTCAGACGGGCGTGGGAGTATCATTGTGGTGGAGGGTCGTTTCAGCAAGTATGCCACATTCATACCTGTGCCTACGCGGATTGCATGGCTGAGAGTGAGAGGACACCCAAATGACCTTAAAAGATTCTGAAGTAGCTTAAGCTTTTGTATTTTACATTTGTAGTTATGCCAAGTGCTCCGCTGATAGATGTGCAATACTAGAAACTATAGTGCCATAAACATTAATTTGTTTCAGCCCAAGTAATTACTGAGAGGGCCCACAAGTTGGAGGTCAATGGTTCAAGCTCCAATGGTTTCTTAGTGAAAAATGATTTCTGGTGCATGATTTACTTAAGAGTGCACCAGTAATCAAATAAATGAACGAGATGTTCTCAACTTCTCATTCAATTTCCATATCAACCTAGAGCTGTTTCCATCCTAATATTCATCAAATAATAGGTGCCTGCACCTGACATGTTGACTCATTTAATGGATGAGACGATACTAAGGTAGCAAAGAGAATTGCAGTTCCATTTGAAACTTCCCAATTTAACCCTATCATTTTCATCCTTTTAGGAACATGTTAACGAAATTGACTTTGACTACATGGAGTATGCAAGGCAGAGGCTTCAACAGTACTGGTTAAGGAAACCTGAGCTATTGGATTCTTTTAGAGCTACCCCTGATGATGTGGCTGATGGTAATGCTACTATCTATTTCTTTGTAGCTTTCTCTTTCTTACTGCTTTGTTTGGATATGATCGTATATGTCCTCTGCAAGATATATGAATGTTATTTACATTTGAGTCATTTGACCCAATGAGTATTCACTGGTTCAAGTCTTGAGGGTAGTCACTTTATGTAAATAGTCAAAGTTCACCCCTCCCGAGTCCCAGCACCCTTGATTAACAAGTAACACACTGTGCAATGGCATTTTTTTGAGGTTGTTAACTAAGTTTCATGATGTACTAAAATCTTCATTTTGAAACATCATTTATATTTTCTTTTAAATTAAAAATGCTCACTTTAATTTATATATTTTTATTTTTATTTTTTCCAGTGCCTTTGTTTTTAGTTGAAACTTTTTGCTGTACTCTTCTTTATGACTTAGGTCTGAATATTCTTAGCATGATTTTATTTTATTTTTTGTACTCTTTATTACTTACCAATGGATACTCTAAACATGATTTTTTGTGATCTAACCAATTAAGGTTTCCTACTGATGTCAAAATTTGATCTTAATATCACAAGATAAATTGCCCTTGGATAATGGAGTATAAATGCACTGTCATAGCTTTTGAAGAAAGTTGGCAAACATTTGGTTAAAAGTTATTTGTGAAATTGTTGGAAATCTTAAACCAGAGACTATTTGAAAAAAATTTAGAAATGTGAATATGAACATTTTATTTAAAATTACTCATTGAAAAAAATTAACTTAAGATTAAGTCAAAACACTTGTATTGGAGGTCCTAGAATCTAGTACTGAGGTTATGTGTTGTACAAGTCAGAAATTTTTTGACACATTGATAGAACAAGAGCTAGCATGTTTAGAATCACATGCTATTTTTTTACTATCGGGAGAAGAAAAAGTTTGGCTTGTTGACCGTTCTGCACATCCCACTTGAATTTCAAGTTTTACTAAAATTTCATTTCACATATATTTTGTAGTCCTACTTATCTTGATCTAGAGCTTATCTCCAGACTTCTAATCTGACAATTATCCATATTCCTTACTCTAGTTTTATCGACCAAAATAATATCATAGACAAAAAGCTATACCATGGAAACTCATCCTGAATGTTATTTAGTAGCTAATCCATAATTATACAAAGATATATACTTAATGTTGATCTATGATGTAAGCCTAAAGTAATTAGAAAATGGCTTGATTCTCTTGCAATTGTTTTAATTATAGTCAGTTCCATGGTACATGTTCTTTCATTTCGTGATATCTATATTATGACTCCTTTATATTCTAAAATCCACCGTATAATATCTCTAGGGAACCTATCGTAGGCTTTCTCTAGGTCTATAAATGCGATATGAATATCTTTCTTCTTCTTTTCTTTACATCTTTTCGTTAGTCCTCTCAGTAAGTTCTAGCTTCCATTGTTACTTATCAAAAAAGGTTCTAGCTTCCATTATTTACATCCCTGGCATAGTTCCAAATTGATTTTATGTTATTGTAGTTCCACATCTTTTACTCTTGTTTAATCGTCTCTCCCAAAGTTCCATAGCAGGACACATTAATTTAAGGGTAAATTACAGGGACCTCCTCTATGGTTTGGGAAATTACTCGGACCTCCCCTAAAAATGAAACTAACCTACACGGATCTCCCTTATGTCACAGTCAACGCAAGTCAATGACGGAAATTGCTAATGTCATGTACTGAATTTATTAAAATTCCTATATTACCCTTTGAGTGCTTTTTCTATATTTTACTTATCAAAAAAAAAAAAAATCCTATATTAACCTTCATCTATCTCCTCTCTTACTTTCTCTCTCTACTCATTTTCTCTCTCTATATTATATTCACCTGGCCAACCACCACCATCACCATTTCCATCACCTCCCTCACACTCTCTCTACTAACTTTCTCTCTCTATATAACATGTATATATACACAGAATGCAACATATTTAACCCATATGAATTCGGGTTCTTAGTACCCATTTTTTCGGAGCCAAACCCAGGAACACCCATATCAATCTTTCCTCACCAACTCTAACCCTCTTTTTCTCTCCCTCTCAAATCGATGGCAGCACTAATATATAGTTTGTAAAATTTAAATATAAAATAAATAAATAAACTGAACCTACCACCAAACTACCAGTTTCAAGCATAAGATCTCTGTTATTTTTTTTTTACTGGTGCACATATAGATATAAAATTTGCATTTACTGTACATGTTTTTCCGGTAACATTCTTGGAAGGTTCTTAATTTTTATTTATTTAGAGCAAACCCACATATCAATTGACACGTATAAAGCGTATTAACCACGACCCCCCATGCTCCAGTGAAGAAAGAAGTTACAACTATGGCACCAATGAAAGCTCTGAACAGAAACCTCCATTGATTCCGGTGAACAAAGAACTGAACTGGAACTCCATTGATGACGAGCTAAAGACGACCCAACTGCTGTGGCCAAATTTGCGAGAAGATCTGAATTAATGACGACCCAACCGAGACCCAAACTGGAAAAACTATAGTACCCAACCGGTGAGCTTCGTATACACATTTCCGGCAAGCTTCAAAAAAGACCCAACCAATTGTGAACTCTTTGATCGCGAAACCCAATCTGCTGCCGCATTAGAGCTCAAGTCCTTGCCACCGACCGATCACGCGTGCATCTTGCTAGAAGTCAACACAGACTTCCCACACAGTTTCTCTCTAGAAAATCTAGATCTATCTTCCTCTCTCTAGAAGTCTCTACAAATGGAAAGACCCAAGAAATAAAATAAAAGAACAATCAAAGAAAAGCAACAAAGCAATATGGAAGGACATGAAGGTGCACGTGGCTGTATTACTTGGTCAATAGTGAGCTTATAGGCTAAGGAAAAGTTAAGGAAGTCAAAAAGTGAAAGGTATATTTATACGGGTACATCATTCATTTATCCTAGCAAATTGAGGGTATTTCGGTAAATTAGACAGGTTTGTTAGTGCATTTGACAGTCCGTCACTAATAGGGGAGGTTTGTGTAGGTTAGTTTCGTTTTTAGGGGAGGTCCGAGTAATTATGGCAAACCATAGAGGAGGTCCCTGTAATTTACCCTTAATTTAATGCCTCAATAATTTTTACAATTTTGGTACTGTAATACCATTGCACCACTCATTGGCAGTTTAGCAGTCATTATTATCTTATTGAATATTTTTGTTAGCCAAGACACAATATCATCCCCTAAACATTACCAAAACATACCAGGTATGGTATAGATTCTAAACTCTTTTTGTTTTTGTTGATGCGAAAATCCTCAAGACTTTGAACGACCGCGTTTACCTGCAAAACAAAAGGACGTCATCTCGAATGGCACAGGTAGGGTGCCAGCCGAGGACCCTCCGACGATCAAGTTAGTACTTGTAATCGTATCACATAATAATTATGTAAATTATGTCTAGGGGTTTTTTCTCGTACCTTTTTTAATGGCTTGGTGCCCTATTTATGGCTGTCGATTGGAATCAAATTGGTCCCGCGGGAGATCCGCTTGTGCGAGATCAGAGGAGATTGTTTGTTGCTAGATTTGTCGGGAATATGATTTACTCCTTTGATTTTCTCAAATTGTGCCAAGGCTATCCTCACCTTGTTGAACCACGTCGTCATTCATTATCCTGGATAAGAAATGTCATCATTCTTATCCGATGGAAATCTTTATCTCTGATAACGAAATATGTCGAAGAGGTCTGGCGGCTGGTCAAGGTAGGTTATTTTTCCCTATCAGTTGCCCCCCATTCCCAAGCTTGCTCGTCTAACTTTGGGAATGTAAAAAAAAAAAATTTCTTTTTTTTTTTTTTGGGCCCCGGCACTGTTCCCGAGGGAACAGTACCCGTGGGTACTATTCACTAGAATAGTAAAACTTCTTTTTTTTTTTTCGGCACTGTTCACTGAAACAGTATTTTTATTTATTTATTTTTTTGCCCTGGGCACTCTTCCCTCGGGAAGAGTGCCTCGAGTACTGTTCATGTGAAAAGTACTTTCTTCTTCTTCTTCTTCTTCTTTCTTTTTTTTTTTTTTTGCCTTGGGTACTATTTTTGGTACCCTTGGGTAATCTTCCATCGGGTACTATTTTTGGTACCCTTGGGTGCTCTGCCCTTGGGTACTATTTTGAGTACCCTTGGGTACTCTGTCCCTGGGTATTATTTTTGGCACATTTGGGTAATCTTCCCTCGGGTTCTATTTTTAATATCTTTGGGTATTCTGCTCCTGGGTACTATTTTTGGTACCCTTGGGTACTATTATTGGTACCCTTGGGTAATCTTCCCTTGGCAAGGGAATAAATTATACGAGCTTCACTCAGGTCGTCGCTCCTTTAATAAAGGAATTAAATTTTACGAGCTTTACTCAGCTCGTCCCTTTAGTAAATTCTCGAGACTCAGAACGACAGCGTTTACCTGCAAAACAAAAGGACGTCATCCCGAATGGCACAGGTGGGGTGCCAGCCGAGGACCCTCCGACGATCAAGTTAGTACTTGTAATCGTATCGCATAATAATTATGTAAATTATGTCTTGGGTTTTTTCTCGTACCTTTTTTAACGTCTTGGTGCCCTATTTATGGCTGTCGATTGGAATCAAATTGGCCACGCGGGAGATCCGCTTGTGCGAGATCAGAGGAGATCATTTGTTGCCAGATTTGTCGGGAATATGATTTACTCCTTTAATTTTCTCAAATTGTGCCAAGGTTATCCTCACCTTGTTGAACCATATCACATAATAATTATGTAAATTATGTCTAGGGGTTTTTTCTCGTACCTTTTTTAACGGCTTGGTGCCCTATTTATAGCTGTCGATTGGAATCAAATTGGTCCCGCGGGAGATCGGCTTGTGCGAGATCAGAAGAGATCGTTTGTTGCCAGATTTGTCGGGAATATGATTTATTCCTTTGATTTTCTCAAATTGTGCCACGGTTATCCTCACCCTGTTGAACCACGTCGTCATTCATTATCCTGGATAAGAAATGTCATCATTCTTATCCGATGGAAATCTTTATCTCTGATAATGAAATATGTCGAAGAGGTCTGGCGGCTGGTCAAGATAGGTTTTTTTTCCCTATCAATTTTCATTTTTATCAATGCATTTTTACCTTGCACAACCTGACCCGATGAAACATTTGTTAAAAAGTTTGTTTTCTGTAATCTCCCCAACATTTTGCATATTCTTCTCAATCTTAACCTCCTGTATAATTTTAACTTAACTACTTCACAATGTAGCTTTTTCGCCTTTCTATATAATTTTGTCTCTTTTTACTAAACGCTGCAAATTTTCACTCTTGAGGCACTTATCATTAAATCCTCTGATTTTTCTCTCCCTTAACTTGGAATTTATATATATACTCTCTCCCCACCCTTAAGACCTAATTCATCTTCTGTCACCAACTTTTATGCATATATGTATTTTCAAAAGTTTATTTATTATTTTTATTTTGCTGAATTCTATAACATTCGCTTTTTGTTTCTATATCCTAAAATTATTTGTAATTTTTAATATTAATAAACATGATTTTTTTTTTTTTTTTCTTTTTAAATCTAACTAGTGGCCCTGGTAAGCTAATTCTGAAATATCCAAAAGGACAAACAATCCTTTGCGTCTTCGTGCCATGTTCATTGTTAACATCAAGGTGACAAAATTTATGATGATACTTTTAAAATTACGTTGCCAGTTTTAAGGGCTAGCCCAGTGCACGAGGCTCCCGCCAACAATTACTATACTATAATTTTGAAAATACTAGTTGTTCATTTGTTAAAAGAATATATCACACGGCAAGGGAATGTTAGTATAGATATGTAACCAAGAAAGATGTGTGTCAGAAGTAAGCAGAAAATGCATTCTATGTTGAGAAACATTCCAGACATTTGTACATATTCCTAAAAACATTTATCCCTCTTCTCAGTATGATCAGAATAAAATATTCTCAGACAGCAAGGTGCACTGAGGTCAAATGGTTTTACCGTTTACATGGTAATTCTACAAGCTTGTCTCTCCTAAACATTTGATTAGGACTTGCATTTTATTTTAGTTAATAGTAGAACCCAAAAGAACCTTTTCTGCTCCCCACACATACTTGAACACTTTCCTTTCCGGGGTTGCAGGAAATAGCACTCCAGAAATCAAGATAACAGGTAATGGAAATACTCCAAAGAACCATACAAATTGTCATCTGAATTAGAAAGATCAGTCGTATTAGTGAACTTCAACATTCTCTCGTGCTTGCTTGAAACTTACTTACGGTATTTATGACAGACAACTTAAAGCATGATTTTTCGCTTTCAGAACGTGAATGTGAGTTTTGGTATGCAGGCAGCAGGCAATAATGTGCAAACAGTGCTGAAGCTGACAGATCTGCCGGAGAAGAAATTTTATGAAATTTGCATATGCTCGGCAAAGACTGACAAGATGGTACTCGGGATCCTTGCTACTCTATTTGTATATTATTTAGAAAACGAAAAATACAGTACCTGTGATGTTGCAGCAGAGGGATTAATGGTATAAAGTGAGAATGTGCTAATCACGGATGCCACCATTGTTATCGTAAATCGTTGTTAATGAAACCAACTTGTCACTTTGAATTAGTCCCTTAATCGTTGTGAATCAGTTGAATCAGTGTTGTGACTCTTGTCTGAGTTTTACATGGGATTTTAGAAGAGTGGAGTTGTGCTTTTTGTATCATTGAGATGATTTCATTTCTTTTCAGCCAGATGTTTATGGGATTATGTATTTCACTGGTTTGCAGTTGATGTCTCTAGACCATTTGTAGGACTATGTTTGATGCATTCGCACGTTAATGCATCAAACTAGATTCTAACACTCGCTTAACCTTTTCATATTTGAAAGTCTGAACTTACAATAAGGAAAAGATTGATGTTTAATATTATTTTACATAAAGAAATTGTTCTAATACTCCAAATTGTTTTTGATGTCTGCCAAACTATTAGTATTGTAATAAATAAGGACTTCCTACAAACATATACATATATGCATATATTTAAATGTAAATTAAGCTTATTATGAGGCGACCAAGCGGTATTGTAGCTTAGTCATACTTTCTCGAGAAAATGATGGCTTCTCAGTAATTAATATAATAAGTATTTTTTTTCCTTTAAACGTATAAAAATAACATGCGCGAAATTTTGTATATATATATATATATATTTTTTACAAGACAAGAAGAGTTATAAGTTAAATTAGTAGGTGTAAAGAGTGGCACTTTCAAAATTCAGCAGAGACACTTATCACTGGACAAGACATTTGTTTTAAATATTTTTTTTGATTTGACATGTTTGGAATACTGAATTTATAACAATTTTTTTTTAAAAAAATGAAAATCTAGTATAATTTTCAAATATATTATGTATTTATTAAAATAATAATATAAAATTTTTTAAAAAAATAAAAAACAACACTCAACTAGCTTTAATTTCCAAATTAGCGATTTTATTTGTAATAATGTGAATTAAATGGATAATATATATATATATATATATAATTGGATCATTATTTTTTTCACGTCCCCATGGTTCGTGAGCCTAGCCAAAACCTTTGAAGCGTGCTGGACTCAACATCGTTCATTCAAAATCAACCACAAAATACCCATCCCATCCTGAGGTGACTAGTGACTACTACTCCTAAAAATCTCTCTCCCTCCCCGAACCCGAGCCGCCTGTTTCTCTCTCTACCGCCAACCCACAAGAAAAGAAAAGAAAAGAAAAGAAAAGAAAAAAAAAAAAAAAACAGACCTCACTAGTCCTCCTTACCAATACAATACTCACTCACTGTATTGCTATCATCTCTTGTATTGAATTGTGGTCTTTGGATTGCTTCTATACAAAAATGACTTGTGCGTCACAAGCTATGATATCAGCAAACACCTGCAATTTGTTCTTCAAACAATATCACAAGGACTCGAAGAAGAAGCAACAACATCTCAATCTCTTCACAGTCCGAGCTTCCTCCGATGAATCTGACTGCAATGTCGAGGAATGCGCCCCCGACAAGGAGGTATCTTGTTTTTCTTTTTACTGTTGTTTGGTTCCCGAGAAAAAAAAAAGCTAGGAAATTTCTGGGTTCTGATGAATTTTTCGTATGGATCTTTATTTACACGAATTTGGGTACTGGTTTGTTCTATAAGATGACAATGGGATTGAATTTGTTTGAAGTACTTTATTTTCCGGTGTTTCTGATTAGGAAGGAGATTATGTTACAATTGTGGAAATGGTAGATTCAGATAATATCTGGTTTCTGATTAATTTTTTATAGGAATGTTTATTTACATGAATTTGGGTACTAGTTTTTACTATAAGATTAAATTCTTTATTTTTTAGTGTTTCTGATTAGGAAGGAGATTATTTTACAATTGTGAATTTGATGAATTTAGGTCGTTATTCTTAATTTTTTTTGTTCCACTGAATTAATGGAAAAATCATTTAATTGAGAAACTTCAAGTTGTAAAAAGAATACTCTGTATTTTTCAAGAGAAAGATATAAGAATGGAATAGCAAGTAAAAGTAAAAAAAAAAAATTAAAAAATAAAAAGGATATATTCTTATTTTAAGCAATCTCATGATAAATTGGGACTTTTCTTATGTTACCTTTGGGAGCACCGAATCGGTGCCTTGGATTGAACTAAATTTCCTTCAATTGCAGTTCTAATTCCAAGGCGCCGATTACGTGCTCTCAAACATGGCTTTAAAGGTTTTTCAATTGTTCACTATACTTGGGCTATTCACAGTAATTTCTATATGGGATAAAGGCAAGATGATTTATGAAAGTTTGTCCAACGATGATCAGGGAGATGCCTATGATCACTGTTATAGAATGTTGGCATTGCGCTTGGATAGGTTAGAACATTTTAGTCTGTAATAAACTATTGACTATGTTTAGTGGCAGCTTTTAAGTTTTAACCAAAGCTCAATTTGGTCCTTTTTAATTGCATTTGTACGTGGGGGTGAATAATTTATCAGATGAGGTTTTTATGGAGAATATTTATGAGAAGTGTCAAGCACTAATTGTATCTAAACACCCTATACCAGACAGGTTTATCAAAAAAATGAAACAAACCCGACAATTATTCATCTAAATAGCATCATGAGCTGACAAGGCATGATGAATTGAGTAGATTTTAGCGTTCAAATTCATGCCCATTCTTGTTCAGTGAGGAAGATGCCTTTTCATTTCTTTTCCTATACTCTGAATACTTCTAAAGAACAAAGTCATCCTCATCTTAATATCTTATTCCTTAATTTTTATATATTACTCCATATATATACCCGAGTTAAGTGGTGGTTTGTCTTTTTATGTACACCGCATCTGATATCTATATATTTGTTTTTTTTTTTTCTCGTTGTTTCTGGTTATATGGGCAAGTTCAAAAATTTCATCTCTCTTGGTAGAAAAAGAGAATTAAGTGCTCAAGTGCATGTAATACACCAGTCTTACAACAAGAACTTTAATTATCATTCAGGCCAACACTTCATAGATTCTTCCAAGTTAACAACTCTAGTTCGATGAATCTTAAGAGTGATATATGTCATCTAATTATTGGTTACCACTTAAATATATTATCTTTCAATCATTTACTGTTTGGATAAAAATCTTGAAAATTTTATTTTCTTCCCCCTCCCTTTAAGCTATTCATAATCTGGACACAATTCTAAGCAATTGGTCCTTAAGTTGATGTATGAAGCCACCTAGAGAAACATAAATTTAGCTATATTCTATTTGAAGAAACTCTTAACATAGTGTTAATAGTAAAAACAGGTTGGGAAAGTTAGCATGGAATGGGTAGCTGTGGAGAAGACTAAAGTGGTTGGGACATTCCCACCTCGTAAACGGGGTTGGACGGGCTATGTTGAGAAGGACACTGCTGGACAGACAAACATATATTCAGTTGAGGTGAGTATTTGTAAGGTTTCTGATATTAAATAATTCTTTTAAGAACATCAAGTTTTCTGAAATTTGAGTTGCTAACCAAAAGAGTACGGGAGAATTGCACACTTACATGTCTCAATTCTAAATTTTTTTGCTTGCAAATTTACTATATATTGCAGCCATCGAGGCATGACTCATGATATGTTTATCAAAGCACTCAACAAAGATACAAATATTATTATCATACAGCTGTCATTTTTAATTAATAAAAAATCCAGAGATGTGTTTTGGTATGATCTTCTATTTAATTTGCATGAAAACCGGGAACATTTGAAAGTGATTATCTGCTAGTAACGACAAGGATGATGTAACTTCAACAGTGATGTGTTAAGTACTTTTTACTGTGAAGAAAATTGTGTCTATACTTCCATAAAAAGTTTATTTGTTCACACATGAAGTCCTCCCATATCCCAGTTTTTTTCTCTCCTTTAATATATCCTAGTTAATAATCTAAAAGTTATTTAACATATGGTTCGGACTTTACTCACTGTTACCTGATTTATTTTATCTGTCTTGTTTAAATAGTTTACACAAGTTAGTCGTGCTTCATTCTCAAGTCCTTATGAATCACTATCGGTTTTGGAGGTAAACCAATTATTAAACTTAGTCGTCCATGTTAAGTTGCCGTTGCGATGAAAGCGTACTTATTTGAGAAAGTTATGGTTTGGAGAATCTTTTTTTAGTCTCTCGATACTTTTTTCACTTTCTTTCTGTAACATATCAAATTAGGTGCTCTGTGCTCAGCACTTGGGTTCCTTATTCTGCAACACTCTTTTTGTTCATAATATCCAACACTCTTTTTGTTCTATGCAAAATTGAAATAGATCATGTGATTGCACTCTTTAAGTTGGTTAGGTCCGTCATTAAGGCCTTAAGGGTATTCTTGGCTCCTTATAGGTGCATCGTCAATAGTCCACAAACTTTTGTTATATGTATGGCTCTTGGAAATTCTTTTTTGAATTAATTAGTAAATGTTTTGAACTATATGTTTCAATATCTAATCTGTTATACTTTGCAGCCTGCAGTTTACGTTGCCGAAAGTGCAATTAGCTCAGGCACTGCAGGGTCTTCTTCTGATGGATCCGAGAACACGGTAGCAGTAGCTACAGGTCTTGCACTGATATTTGTCGCTGCAGCATCATCAATAATCCTTCTAGTTGGGAAGAACCCACCCGAAGTGCAGACAGTGGAATACTCGGGGCCATCCCTTAGTTACTATATCAATAAGTTCAAGCCATCAGAAATCATCGAAGCCTCGGTGCCAGGAAGCTCTGCTCCGGAAGCTCCCCAGGTTGAGGTTGAATCTGCATACCAGCCGGACGCTTCAACTTCAAGCTCTATTATCTCTTAGGCAATTGAAATAGGATGTCTTTCTCAAATAGTTAAAACTCATCAGAGATTTTTCCTTAATACAAAAAATTGTATACTATTGTAATAAGTTAATTGCAGCTTTGAATAGATATTTTGCATGGATTATAAGGTCATGCTATATTGGAAAAATGTAGTTCCTTTTTTCTTTTTCTTTTTCTTTTTCTTTATATTAATTGTTCTTTTATTGATGCTTCTAAGTAACTCTCAGTTGATGACAAATTGGGTCGAACCCAAAATTGTTCCAAATTAAGGTTGGGTTGGGTTGGGCTGGGCTGGGCTAATTTCGCAAACAGATCGGAACATCCTGGACCCAGTCTTATGACTCTTATATAACCTTTTGGCCAAATTGCATAAAAAGCCCCCTTTACTTTTAATTTTTAACAAGAAATCCCCTTAAAGAAAAAAGTTGACAAAAACTCCCCTAAGTATCTAATTTATTGCAAAGTGATGTTATAGTAACGCAAATGCCCTTCAAATAAAATTTTAAATATTTTATTTTTAACTTTTTTCCTTTTAATTTTTTGTTCAGCTTCGCCGGTGTTCTCTTTGTTTCTCGAGAGCAAAGACGACAACTCTCAATGTGTCTCGCCGATGCCCTTGTGTTCTGAATAGATCTGTCGGTGCTGATTTGTATACTTTCTAATTGTTCGGTGATGCTATTCAAAGTCCTCCTTGGACCGTTTTGAAGATTAAAGTTTATAAAGTTGCCTATTGCTATCACTTGATACAAAAATCTTCATTTTCCAACTTCATATTTGCATATAAATATATATATATAGAGAGAGAGAGTTAAGTAAAGAAAAAAAAAATCCCTCTACTATTAATATAATGCAAAACGGTCTATGTGGGGTAAAAATCTCTCATATACTTTCAATTCGGTGCAAATAGATCCATGTGTGGTATAAAAATGACGATAATACCTTCACTTCAATTAAATAAATTAATAACTATAAATACCTTCAATGTAAATGACCCTTTTATCCACCTAACAAAAAAAGAAAAAAAAGCAGGACGATAATTCTTCCTAATGCAAATATCCTACTACTGTATATATCTCTATACATTAGTATATATTTCATATATAGAGTCGAAAATGACCCTATTTCTTCTTCTCAGGAAACCACTTCTTGAAGGCGGTGGACGAAGTTGGATTGAAGGACACTGCTTCCCTTTCACAAAAGCTTATTTCTTCTCCTCTCACAATGGCATCTTATGGAGATGGTAATTGCTCCTTTTCATGAGAAAACACTCCTGCTTATGATTTCATCAGCATTTCATATTGATTTGCTTTCCTTGTCTTCTCTACCATGTCTGGCAGTTACTTCTGTCCCAACCTATGATTCAGTCAGCAGCAAGCTCCCATTGAAATGAAAATGAATTGCGGGCGGACACCTTGCTCCTTGTCATCAATTTTGTGGCAAAAGCAAGTTTAACACCCAATAGGTATAGAAGAACAAGGAATTTTGATGCTCTCCAGATTAACAATAATATGTTGGATCCCTTTTATTTTTATTTATTTATTTTTATCGTTTTTTTAAGGCCTACTTTTTGTTACTTTCCATTATCATTGAATATTTTCTGTCTATTCTCTTGTTTCATTTTGCCATATCTACACCGAATTCATGTTTCAGTTCTGTTTTTGGGCAAATGCAAATCTTTACACCCCAATAGCAATGGAAATGTAAGAAGGAATTTAGATGCTCTCTACAGTGGAAAAGCACCTGTTTTGAATTTTTGATTCTCAATATATTTTTGCAGTACTTGTAATAAATATGCAAAAAAATATGTCTGATTTTTATTTTTTATTTTTTGTCCTTTCAAGAAACTTAAGCTTGGTCTCAATATTACAAGTACTGGGAATGCACAATATATTTTTGCAGTACTCAATATATTTTTTAATGCACATATGGGTGAGGGGAAAATGGAAATTAAAAGGGTAAAATAGGGTTTTTATTTTTATTTTTTTGTTAAAAAGTTGTCAGAGGGCTTATTTGCACATTTTTTTTACTTTTATGAATTAATATGCACATTTTCAAAAAGTAGGGACTAGTTCTGCACAAAAAACCCTATATAAGAGGTTTTTTTTTTTTTTTTTGCACTCAACCGTGTATATATATATATATAATATTATGATTGTTTTTTAATGTTCATCTATTTGTAAGCATTCTTCCGAATTTTGACAATTAGTGTTAATGGCTATTGAATCCGAGTATGAAGTTGCTCTTGTTAGCCTGGGTTTAAAAAACAATGTGGAAAACACCACTGTGTTGTGCTTATTTTGAACTCAATGGGAAAGGGATATGCTATTAAAGCTGAAGTGTTTGCTCTTCTGGAAGGAGAACTGGTCGATTTGAAACAGAAGCAGATGGGAGAGAGAGAGAGGGGCATTTTAGTATATTCGCTGTTCCGGAATAGCTATTTTTGTTTTTCACAATAGCGTTGGTATTAAATAACCTATTTTTGGTTCTCGCACATGTTATTGTTTTGGCAGGTTTTTGGCACTTCACTCCACATACATATAAAGTTGTTGTATGACACCGACTGAAATACTAAACCCTTACAGTAGCAGACTTGCTGATTTTCTTCCCCGTATAACAAAGAGAAAGCGGAGTGTGATTGATTGATCATATCATGGGAGTCAAGGAACACTCTTTTGCGCACGGCAATAATAGCAAAGAGTATGTTTTTCCATATACATTTATATATACACACACAGATTCTGAGTCATATATATATATATATCCATATATGCACACGTTTCTGCATATTGATTTTAAGTGTAGAAGAGTTTGTTTTACTTATTTAATTTTTTTTGTAATCTTTTTGTTGGCTTTGGAATTTAGGTTCGCTGTTGACAAGCAATTCCTGGCTGCTCCGGTGAAATCGGTTGTCGATAAGTTTCAACTTATTCCAGAGTTCTTGAAGGTAAATCTGTTTTTGAATACGTGATGCTTTTATAACGCAAAAGGGTCTGGTCAATTTGTACTGATTTTATGTTCAATTAGTTTGCCCCCATGACTTCATTTTGCACCACAACAATTATGAAGTACTGTATATATATATATATATATATATATACACACACACACACACACACACATAATTTTGAGAAGACTGCAATTATTTGTGTATTTAAACAAATTTCTCAAGATATTAGGGACAATGGTTTGATGAGCATATACCGAGAGATGATTATGTTTTGATCTTTTGGGACTTGTAGGTGAGAGGTTTGGTGAAGCAACATCTGGATTCGTACAATTACTTTGTCAGGACCGAAATAAAAAAGATTGTCCGCGCTAATGATCTCATGACATCTAAGGTTGACCCAAATATTTATCTCAGGTAAAATTTATTATCTATATAGGGCAATCATGGACGACTCATGAAATTTAAATGTATCTTTACACTGCATTTGTTTTTTTGTTTTTGTTTTTTGGGCATCATTTACGGTGGATTTAGCTTTACTTAACGAAGGAAATTGGAGTTATCACAACTAACAGTATTGGAATACTTATAGGACTACATTAAACGCTGGACATTTCAAATTTTTAACTATCATTTGTATTAGCTGCTGATAATTCCTTCACCTACCTTCTTTTGATGGATTTGCGATGAAAATCATAAACAAACCTCAGTGGAATAATTGTTTGTTTGAATATTTTAAATGCTCTGGCTTTTATTAAGATAACGGTTTTTTTTCCCTACTCCGGGTACAGGTACAAAGATGTTTCAATTGGTGAACCTTCAATGATAATTGATGGTGTGACTGAAAGGCTCAGTCCCCATAGATGCCGGCTTTCTGATATCACGTAAGCAATTGGGCTGTATGTTAATTTTATTTTTGGTAAAAATTCTACTGAACTCAAGCAAACAACCCCCCCTCCCCCCAGGCTTTATTTTTCCATTGTACTATGTTAATTCGTTCCTTTTGGGTTTGTTTTGCAGCTTTTCCTTCTTGCTGCTATGTCTTTGTTTTTGTTTTTTTAAATATAATTCAGCTTTCTTTTATATATATATATATATACACACACTTCTCCCCCAAGAAACCTCTAAAACCATATCATTTATTGAGGGATAGGGAAGGACACCACTTGTGAGATTGTGAGAGGAGGAGGGGGAGGGGGAGGGGGAGGTGCAGATGATTGAGAGAGGGGGAGAAGCAGATGGTTCAGAGAGGAGGATTAGTAGGGGGGTGAGCAAGGTAGAGGTACAGGGAGGGGGCCATGTAGTTGTGTTAGGGTATGTAGGGTTAGATATGTAGATATACTAGGTAAATATATATATATATATATATATATATATATATATATATATATATATATATATATATATATCTATTCGGGGCAGGTTGAATAAAATCCATCCCAAGCTCCAAATCTGTGATTGGGCTTTACTATCTTTTCATATACCTGTCCAAATTATAGAAAAGGTCCCATACATGAGCCAGGAGGGCCGGGACGGGTAAAATTGTTACCCCTAGATGGAAGGTCATGATGAACTTCTAGTGGTGGTTAACGATGTTGTTGGTATTGGTGAGATGGCATTCTGCTGTTACTTACGTGGTATCAGTGACATGGCTCTTTTGTCCATTGAGAACTCTTTCAGACGGGGGTATATTGGAGAAGGAATAGAGATGAAAGTAGATTATTTAAGGATATATTTATCTGTTGAAATAAAATTCTTAAACCTTTTGCCATTAATTGGAAATCTGGAAGTCTCTTTCACTTAAATTGTACACGATCACATTCACTTATTATTGGAAAATTACACAATTTTTTGGTTTAAGTTTTTAACTGTGTAGTTGGAAACTTCTTGGTATGAAGAGTGATGCATGTTTAGAACTGTAGGGCCTCCCATCCACTATGTTCATGGCTCAACTTAATATACCTTAAATGCTAAAAGTTTCTTGGTTAGTGTGGGCACCGAACCCCTTGTCCTATGTGTCATTTAGACACCCATCCTAGGCACTCTCCTGTGGGCATTGAACCCATTGTCACCATGTGTCATTTAGACACCCATCCTAGGCACTCTCCTGTCATCTCAACAACCCATATGGCACTAATGAACATATGTAAAATATATTTTGTTCCAATAAATGAAACATGATGCTAAGAGAAATAATCTAGAAATTAAAGGTCACCAGGGTCATATTTGGATTGAACTATTTATTCTGCTTTTGATTTCTATAGTTAATATATATATACATACATATATATATATATATATATATATATATATATATTTATAATTGATAAGATCTAAATAATTTTATAGATAATGATTGTTTTGGAATTTTAGATTCTCAGTGTTACGCCCCGAATTAAATACTATCTCATGATCTTCCTGACTTGTCGACTAAGTCCCAGCCATTTTCCCGTTTTGAAAATCAGGAAGTTGGCTGAGACTCTCTCTAATTTACCCACTCGCGCCGGATCCACACTTCATTAGGGCCGATGCTCAGAAGGGGCTCTTTTGCAACAAATAAAGTAGAAGTCCTTCTGCAGTTTGTCAGTAATATCCGCATAAACACGACCCTGCTTCTTTGGTCCTTGTCGTCCCCCGACTGCTGCTGACGAGATCCAAATTGTGTTGTCTGTGCTCCTCGAGTTTGCTGTTGAGGACGAAATGATGGATAAGCTCCTGGAGGTTGCTGCTGAGGACGGGTTGGTTGATATTGTTGCTGAGGCTTAGCTTGATAGGAACCAGAGCTTGAGCTGGTGCTTGGTGAGGCTTAGCTTGATAAAAAACCATAGCCTGGGTTGGCACTTACTGAACCGGCCTTTGTTGTATAGGCATCTGGGGCAGTTTCTCTTGATGTGCCCTAGTTGTCCACAGAGGAAACACGTGCGGCTGTTTTGTTCACCAGAGGAGTGATGTTGAATTGCGTTGCTGATTTGTGGTCCAGTATGTTGGTTTTTGTAACTGCCTCGACCTTGTTGCATTCTCCTCTTATTCTGGTTCTGAGATTCCTAAATCTTCATGCCATGTTGAAAATTCTCCTCTGCTATTAATGCTCTATCCACCACGTCAAAATCCTTTTGTAACTTTAGCACTGAAATTTTGTTCCAATGAAAATCTAGACCTTGCTCATATTGCTTAACGTTATAGGCCTCATCTGCGATAAAGTGTCGAGCGAAACGTTATAATTCCTCAAACCTGGCCTCATACTGGGTCATTGTCTTCCAAATCTGTGTAAGATCAATAAATTCCCTAACCTTAGCGTAGCGTACTACTGCTGGAAAGTACTAAAAGAAAATCCTCTTTGAAAACCTTCGACCTTTGGTACTATAGAGTTGGTTGCTATGGGTTGAGGTTGCGGGATAACCACCGGCGTGTTATTGTGTATGGATTGCTGCTACATCTTTGGTGCCAGAAGTTGTTTGTTGCCATTGGAGATGCGTGTGGAGGATTCCGGGATGTGGAGGCATTTGAGATGAGCGATACGGAAAGAATTGTGATCACTGTGGCTGATGGCGGTGTGATCCCGAAGAGCTTTGTCGTGGAGGATGGACGGTGGGCTTTCAGAATTTCGTTATCTGAAGAAATCGCTCCGTTCTTGGTCCCGCTGACTAAAACCAGTTCCGTAAAGGGTGCCGTGCTTCCACCGGCGGCGTCGGCTGGAGTTTCCCATCCGTCGCATAGGTCTGGTTGTGCGAATGGATTCTCGCCGGTGATCCAAAAGGCAGCGGTACAGGCCAGCCGGTCTCAAGATCAGGGACGGGTGAGTCGTCACGCGCCTAAGGCGAGTGGAAGAGGAAAGAATGCTGTCGGGACACGTGGTTGGAGGAGGAATGAGGTCCGTTGTGAGTGGAAGATAGCTCCTCCACCACGTGTCGTGGCACGTGAGCCTCGAGATTTTTTGAAAGTTGATTATGTTGGGCTAGACGAGATTGGGCCTTTTCAGCGTAGGGATCGTATGGTGGGCTCGAACGTGGTTGGGCAGGCTACACATGAGAGGGGTGGGTCTGGGCCTGGGTCATCATTTGGGATGGGGCAATACCCCAAACCAGTCAAGAGGGATGGACGCCTTAAGTTCTCTGGGCTTATTTCTACTGGGCCTGTTCAGAACAAGTTAAGAAAGGCTAAAGATAGGGTGGTTCGATAGGGCCCAAAACATTGCCTATCAATTTCTTTGCATGGTGGGCAGCCCAAATCATTTTCAGAAGAGGTTCAAAGCTCGGTGGTTAAGGATCACCATTCGGACACGTCACAGAGAAAGTCAGAGGTGCGTGTTTGGTCGAAGAAGGAAAAGATGAATTGGGCAAAGATGAGTTTGAGCAAGACGAAGGGGACCGGATCTTGTCCGAAGACTTTCCGACATGGAACGTGCTGTTAGAACCTGATCTCGGGCAATAGGTTCGAGCTTCTTCAGTCTAAATCCTTGGGGGATGATGAGAATGGTGTCTGCGCTCTTATGAAAGAAGACGGCTTTTCTTCGAAGAAATCCAGTAAGAAATGGTCCAGAAATGAAAAACAGAAATGGGTTGCCAACAAGGTTCCCCATTCGTGTCCAGGTATGTCCGATTCATCTCATGCTCAGAACTCTATGGCTGTTCCTCTCTCTACTCCTACTCCTTCTAGCATAATGTTAAGAAGCAAAAGGGGGAAGGTTTTCGGTGGGAGACAGTAAATGTTATCGCCTGTCATTGAGATGGGCTCGGTGGATGTGGTGAGCTCTACGTTTGGTTCTGACTCTGGATCTGTTGGGCCGTCAAAGAGGGATGGGACGGTTTGTTTGTCTGACGACAGGGAAGTTGACCATTTTTGTGGTGGGATTGCTGAAACATGTTCGGAGGCTTCCTTCTCCTCTAGGACTTCAGGGGAGGAGATGGGTAGGCCGGTTGAGCCCCTGTTGGGTGGTATGGATGGGCTGTGTTCTTCTTTGAAAGGTGGTCCAATGCATTGCGTAAAGGGTTCTGTGCCTGAGTTGGTGACTGTTTGTGTGGGCAAAGACATCAGAATCTCTCTCAGTGATGAATCTGCCAATCTTTTGGTGAAGGAGCTGCAAAAGCATAGAGCCTCCATTAAGACCAAACTGCTGATTGTAACCCGAATTTTTCCATTCAGGAAGGCATGTTAGATTATGGGGATGATTGGTTGTCACATGCTGAGGAGGAAATGGAGGCCATGGGAGGTGAGAATGATGGATGCAGGGTGGAACAGGGTAACTCTCTTGATATGATTTTGTGGGAAAAGGAAGGTCATGCTAGTTTGGGGGTGGTGGATCCCTTGGCTGTCGTTCATCCAGAGGATTTGGGCAGCATGGTCTATAGGCAGAGAGGTGAGGATACTGGTAAGGATTGGGTTATGGCTAATATTGGGGCTACTAGTGAGAAGCTGGGGGTCTCTTGCAAGGGGAATAGTGAACAAGCCTTGGCCATTCTTCAAGCTACTGTTGAGGGGAGAGAGGGGGAGATGATTCAGTTTTCTAGAAGGAGAAGCAGGAAGAAGAAGAAGAACCTTACTCCAGGAAGAGGGGAAAGGGAGTTAGGGAACTTGTGTTTTGATGTGAACTATGACGGAAAGTCTGCGGGGGAGAAGGAGAGGGGAAGTGGTAAGGGGGGAGGGAGAGGTAAGGGGGTGATGGGGGCGTCTGTTTCCTCATAAAGTTACGAATTCTATCCTGGAATGTCCGTAGTCTCAATGATCCGGGCAAGCGGAAGGTGGTGAAGATGGCAGTTAGAAAAAGGGGGGTGCATTTGGTGTGCCTCCAAGAAACAAAGATGGACTCTATGACGGAGAAAGTGGTTAGGAGTTTGTGGGGGAATCGATTTGTTGAGTGGGAGGCGCTGGATTCTGTTGGGGCTTC